CTTTTACTATCCAGGATGTTGGTCATGTATAAATTTACATCAATGGATAGCAGCCCAAGTCCAGGTTTTATCCATTCTCTTCCTCTATTCTAGACAGCCATCGTCATGATTGCAATTAAAAATTTAATAATGGCCAACCCCAAAATCCACTGGGATTGTCCTATTCTCATAGCACTTTTACTATCCAGGATGTTGGTCATGATAGATTTACATCAATGGATAGCAGCCCAAGTCCAGGTTTTATCCATTCTCTTCCTCTATTCTAGACAGCCATCGTCATGATTGCAATTAAAAATTTAATAATGGCCAACCCCAAAATCCACTGGGATTGTCCTATTCTCATAGCACTTTTACTATCCAGGATGTTGGTCATGATAAATTTACATCAATGGATAGCAGCCCAAGTCCAGGTTTTATCCATTCTCTTCCTCTATTCTAGACAGCCATCGTCATGATTGCAATTAAAAATTTAATAATGGCCAACCCCAAAATCCACTGGGATTGTCCTATTCTCATAGCACTTTTACTATCCAGGATGTTGGTCATGATAGATTTACATCAATGGATAGCAGCCCAAGTCCAGGTTTTATCCATTCTCTTCCTCTATTCTAGACGGCCATCGTCATGATTTCTCATTAAAAATTTAATAATGGCCAACCCCCAAATAAACTCGGATTGTCCTATTCTCATTCTCATTACACTCTTTTTTATCCAGGATGTTGCTCATGAAAGAATCAATGGATAGCAGCCTAAGTCAAGGTAGACGATACGAATTTTATCCATTCTCTTCCTCTATTCTAGACAGCCATCGTCATGATTGCGTTTAAAAATTCAATAATAGCCAACCCCCCCCCCAATCAACTGGGTTTGTCCTATTCTCATTCTGATTGCACTTTTCATCAAGGATGTTGGTCATGATGAAATCATTGGATAGCAGGATAATTTAAAAATTCCATAGCCAACCCAGAGATCAACTTGGATTCATCTCTTATTCTTGGAGGTTGTTGATCATGATGAAATCAAAGGATAGCAGCCCAAGTCAAGGTGGATGATGTCAATTGAATTCCTTCTCTTCCTCTACTCTAGACGGCCATGGTCATGATTGCAATTAAAAATTCAATAATGGCCAATGCAAAGATCAACTCTGATTGTCCTATTCTCTACACACGATTTCAATAGATTCAAATTTATAACCATTAGAATAGGGAAATGGGACTTTTCATCCAGGATAGTGGTCAAGATGGAAGCAAAGGAGAGCAGCAGCCCAAGTCAATCACTAAGAGATCCATGTCAATTTTATTGCCATTCTCGTCCCTCTCTTTGATTGTAATCGCTATCCTTGCATTTCCAAATTGAAATGGCCAAGCTAGAGATCGACTGAGATTGTCCTATTCTCAACATGATTGATTGAATGCATTCCCATTGCCAAAGTTACAAGAGGGAAAGGACACTTTCAGCAAGGATGTTAGTCGTCCCTTTCTCTTCTTCCATCTTACACTACCGTAGTCATGATTGCAGATCCAAATGTACTGGCTAACATGGAGATCATTAGTCTGATTACAAGGTTGTCAACTCCAGTTTAAAGGGATGAGCATGACCTAAGATAGAGTAGTAAAATGGACATCGCCAACGATGTCCATCATGATCAAATACATCCAGGGTAGGGATCTAGCCGATCTGATCGACTTCTTCCAACCAGGAGGAAAAGGTCGCCAAGTCAAAATTGACTTTGTATTTCCATTCTCTCCATTCGACATGGTGGTCATGTTGAATTTAGAATAAAAAAATCAATCAGCCCTGTTGTCTACTGTCGCTAGTCTGACTGCCATCTTGTCTATTTCCATTTTTACTAGAATCGATTGCCATCAAACTGCAGAGTAGGCTAGTTGCCCTTGCCATCGATTGATGGATGGCAGCCAATGCGTGCTCAAAGTCAATTTTATCCTCCACTGACATGATTCATTGACCATGACCAGAATCAAGTCGAATGGCCATTGATTATTTATTTTGGTAGTCATTGGATTGCAATCCAATGACATCGAGTAATCAAGCATCGTAAGGATGATTCAATCAATGCCTGAACGAATACATGATTCTGTTCATGTCCAAGTAAAAGTAGAATTGATTCATGATCGCTTACTACCATGGGGGAAAAAAAAATAAAAAGACTGATTGGAATCTTGAGGAGCAATCCGTTTCCAAAAAAACAAAAAAGACTGATTGGAATCTTGAGTAATCCGTTTCAAAACAACCAAAAAAACTGATTGGAATCTTGAGCAATCCGTTTCCCCAAAAATAAAAAAGACTGATTGGAATCTTGAGCAATCCGTTTCCCCAAAAAATAAAAAGACTGATTGGAATCTTGAGCAATCCGTTTCCCAAAAAAATAAAAAGACTGATTAGAATCTTGAGCAATCCGTTTCCCCCAAAAATAAAAAGACTGATTGGAATCTTGAGCAATCCGTTTCAAAATGGATTGCAAAAATGAATGGAAAAAAAACATTCTTGACAAAGGTGCATTTCTCCTTCTCATGGCATCTAGCCGAAGCCAACAACAACATCTCTTCTCATTACTATCGGCAGTCATGATTTATGTTGATAGACGGTCCTACCAAGAAGAAGAGATTGTAATGTTGTTGACTGCGTTGAGATGCTGTTAAGGAGGGGGGAAAAAAAACAGAGTCTTCCTTTCATATTTAAAGCAACCAATAATCCAAAATGAAATAAAAAACTAGTTTACTGTGCACATTTCTCTTCATCGTCGGCATCATGATGGCAGTCATGATCCTACATCAAGAATGAAGAATCATGGTAAAACTTGTCAAGACACGTTGATTTAAAATGACTAATAGCTGATGATGATGATTGCCCAATAACGATGATGAAGAAAGGTGGGCTACATCCACTCTCTTCATCGTCGACATCATGATATCAGTCATGATCCTACAGCATGCCATCAAGAATCAAGAATGATGGCAAAACTTATCAACACAAGTTGATTTGAAACGACCAATAGCTGATGATGATGGCTCAATAACGATGATGAAGAACGGTGGGCTGCTTCCACTCTCTTCATCGTCGACATCATGATATCAGCCATTCTTGGCTGCCATAGTTATGATCCTCCATTAAACATGCTCAAGGTAAAGCATCTCAACAAAATCGATTGCATGACATGGTATTCGTTTCCCATAGCTTAATGATGATGGTCAAGAACGACGAGGAAGAACAGCAGTAGATACCATCCACTCTCTTCATCGTCGACTCTAATGGTGAAGATCTTACATCTAGAAGTACATAATCACTACCAACGTCTTGAACTTAGCCATCGCTCAATGATGACATGATGGTCAAGAACGACGAGGAAGAAAAGCAGTAGATACCATCTACTCTCTTCATCGTCGACTCCAACGGTGAAGATCCTGCATCTAGACAAGCACAATCACTGCCAACGTCTTGAACTTAGCCATCGCTCAAGGATAACATGATATGATGGTCAAGAACGATGAGGAAGAAAAGTAGCACTCTCTTCCTCATCGACTCTAATGGTGAAGATTCTACACTACAGCTAGACGAACCATCACTGTCAACGTCTAATAAAGAAATCGATTTGAAAGACGAGAGGACTGGATGATATTGCATCGGCTACAAATGTCAAGAATGGCGAGAAAAAAAAGATGAACTACTTCTACTCTCTCGGTCGTCGATGTCATGATGGTAAGAGCCATCGTAAACAGCAATAGCAAGGACTTTTGAAGCCATTTTTTCACCTCTTTATTCAAAGAGAGCAAAATCGCAAACTGGTCTAGGCATTAAAATACAAGAAATTGTCGTAGGGAGGGGAAAAAAATTGTTCAATAGTCCTTAGCAGGAATGATAATTCTATCGTACTATCCAAATGAATAGTCGTTGTAAAACTTTTCAAACACATCAAATAGGACTGCATGAACATTGGTGACCAATCGCTTAGTGGTCCTTGCCAATGACGATGAGGAAGAAAAGTCGGGGGCTACTTCCACTCTCTTCATCGTCCTCCTTTGCCAGAGAGGAATAGCAAAGAAACAAGTCAGGATAAAACAGTCAATCGGTCTCAATGGTAGGGATTATTAAAATCATGCAGTTGCATTAATCATGATTAATGATTGTTAATCATCGTCAGCGATGAAAAATAATCCCTCTCTTTTGTAGTGGCCGTCAAGAATCCAATCTACATCGTAGTGTACAATCTATTTATAAAACTTGCATCGTTTCTATCATCAACAAGATTTTTGCCTTGGCTAAAAGGATAAGCGTTGGAAGAAAATGCTCTTGTTGATGACTACGCTCTCATTTCTTGTCGACATCATTATTGCCATCAACACCTTGATCGATTGCTTACTTGCAAGCAACGATGGATGCCACTCTGTCAAGTCTCTTTTCAATGCATTACAAGAAGAAGAGTTGTAAAAATCAAGTGGTGCTCGCCATCCAAGATACTTACCATGATAATTAGCATGGATTGCAGTAAGAGAAAGATGAACATCCAGTCAATCTTCTCCTGCCAAAGCCATCCTCGACTCCAATCGATGCTGCTGCCAGACATGGATCATTTTTATCCATGACTTTGATTGCTCGTCCGACACTAACAGGCCATGCACCCTTTTCATTGGAATCTCATCTCCACCTTACTGATGCCCAACTTCCAAGATAGCTGTAAAGCCATCGATCAAGATGATTGCATAAGGCAATTTGACGACGCCATGGATGACTACTTTCATCCATATTGTATAAAGTTGTCCAGGCCGGTACTACAAGCCAATGTACACAAATTGATGCAAACATGATTAAACAATATCGCAGTATGTTTTCAAGCTTGTTTGACATGATATCGATAGAATCATCGTCCATACCAACCAGGAAAATCCATTGCGATATCCAATAACTATTGCATAAAATAAGGGAATGGCTTGATTTTCAACGGCCATGATGGCTGGCTAACAAGGATGCGATTCCTTTCTTCGACGTACTGTCAGTGGTGTTGGCCACCATTGGGCTTGACGAAGACGAAAACAGTGTTTCTCTGTCATCGTCTTTCGTCGTCCATCCAAGGAAGGCTATCATCAAGAAGCGATCGAGAACAACCCGTAAAACACCACTATAATCCCCTCTTCCCTCTCTATGTGGATGGCAATCATCCTTGCATCAAATTGCACGACTTAATGGAAAACATGATCAAAACTAATAACAACTATTCTCCCATCAGATTGTCTAGGCCAGCCCCGTCTACCTCAACAAGAAGAGCGTGAGTAGAAATTGAATGACTAGAAAAACAAACGATGGTTCTCTCGCTTTCTCTTCTATCCTAAGCCTCATTGGGCTACCATCAAGCCCTCTAATCTTACTACAACATCATGCATGATTTTCAACGGCCATGATGGCTGGCTAAGAAGGATGCGATTCCTTTCTTCGACGTACTGTCAGTAGTGTTGGCCACCATTGGGCTTGACGAAGACGAAAACAGTGTTTCTCTGTCATCGTCTTTCGTCCATCCAAGGAAGGCTATCATCAAGAAGCGATCGAGAACAACCCGTAAAACACCACTATAATCCCCTCTTCCTTCTCTATGTGGATGGCAATCGTCCTTGCATCAAATTGCACGACTTAATGGAAAACATGATCAAAACTAATAACAACTATTCTCCCATCAGATTGTCTAGGCCAGCCTCGTCTACCTCAACAAGAAGAGCGTGAGTAGAAATTGAATGACTAGAAAAACAAACGATGGTTCTCTCGCTTTCTCTTCTATCCTAAGCCTCATTGGGCTACCATCAAGCCCTCTAATCTTACTACAACATCATGCATGATTTTCAACGGCCATGATGGCTGGCTAAGAAGGATGCGATTCCTTTCTTCGACGTACTGTCAGTGGTGTTGGCCACCATCAAGCGATCGAGAACAACCCGTAAAACACCACTATAATCTCCTCTTCCCTCTCTATGCGGATGGCATTCGTCCTTGCATCAAATTGCACGACTTAATATAAAACATGATCAAAACTAATAACAACTATTCTCCCATCAGATTGTCTAGGCCAGCCTCGTCTACCTCAACAAGAAGAGCGTGAGTAGAAATTGAATGACTAGAAAAACAAACGATGGTTCTCTCTCGCTTTCTCCACTACCCTAAGCCTCATTGGGCTACCATCAAGCCCTCTAACCTTACTACAACATCATGCATGAGGGTAACCGATGGCATCTATCCAATCTTCCTCCATCATTGCATCAAAGCTATTTTTTTTTTCCACGGCGTCGAGGTAGGCGTAGCATGGGCTGCTGAAAAGAAAAGCCATCTTGCTTCTTTGTCAACATAGGTTTGATCAACCCTGTCATTTTGTCATGTTATTCAACATCGGTCTTACCTCCTGTGACGCCATGGCCGCCCAATCTTGAATCAAGCTCAATAACCAGGTGATACGATCAACAACTTGGATTTCTACTTCTTTACAAGGCAATAAAGTGGAAAGGAAAGCAACTAATTTCTTCTTCTTGCTCGTCTTGTGGCCAACCGCATCCGAAGGGGGCAAGACCACCACAGGGTGTTAGAGTCGTCCACTGCATGTTAGCCTCGATGGCGTCGGCTCTATACACAAGCCAGTAGCGTTTCCTCTGATCTGGTGGTCAAGGGTATCGGTCACCTAGGGGCATGATGGCAGTAGAGGGTATCACTCATGTCATAGCAAACGATAGAAATCCTTGAAAAGTGATAGATGATCGTAGTATGCCAACCCAGTCGACCACTTTCCTGGGCTAGGCCGGTTGTCCGGCCGGCTGTAGACTGCCAGTCAGGGCAGGCGTTCGTAACTTGCCTGTTTTTCGTCTACCTAGCAAAAATAATGTCACTATTGGACAGTTATTTCATAAGGCGTTATATACAGGAAACGAATGCTATGCATGACATCAATTTTGTAAAATTCAGACTCCAATCCAGTTGAAAGACAGGACTCTCTGGATTTCAGTTGAGCAATCCTTAGTGCAAATGGTGAACAAGATTGCCAAGAAAGGCAATTTAAATACACAACTATTCTATCCTATTGGTCTTCTTCATTTCCATGTTGGTACCAGTCTGGGCCAGGTGTATTTCACTGTATAATAGAGCGCCGATTGGATCATTTTTCCTGCATTGGATAACCACAACGGTCATCCAACTACCTCCAGTGAAGACAGCAAGTGCAAGCTTATCCTTGACTGTCTGCTGTCTGCTCAAAGTCAACTCAATAAAATTGCCAAGAAAGGCAGTTTGCAAACTGTTTGCTCATGCTTAAAAACGTTGTCTGCAAAAGCAATTTGACTACCCAACCATTTTACATTACTGGCGTTATTAATTTACGGTAAATAAATATACGGTCATCAAACTACCTGCAGTACAGTAAATACAGCAAGTGCAAGCTTATCCTTGACTGTCTGCTCATAGTCAACTGAATAAGATTGCCCAGAAAGGCAGTTTGCATACTGTTTGCTCTTGGTGAATAATATTGCCTACAAAAGCAATTTGTCTACTGTTTGCTCATGCTTTATAACATTGCCTAGAAAGGCAATTTGTCTACTGTTTGCTCATGCTTTAAAGCATTGCCTACAAAAGCAATTTTCTACCCAACCATTTTACCCTATTGGCGTCATTAATTGCAATTTTTGTTCCAATCTATCGTAGGTGTATTTGACTGCACAGTAGAGTGCCAATTCCAATTTTTGGACTAGTCTGTGGCAGGTGCAATGCACACTTGTATAATGAACAGTATATCCTGTTGTTATAAAGTAGTACTTGATTGATTATGTTTAGTTGGATAACTGATTTGTATCATCGACGTATGTACAGTCTATATGGTTGTTTGTAAACCACCATACACGCTCATATTATCATTTAAAAACAAACTGTACAGTAATCTTGAAGATGAGGATTTAGATCGCACAACTAGCCTTTCTACTTTATGATGGACGTCATAAATTAGTCATCTATTGGATTGATGTGATAAGATGGCCGTTAGTATTTATAGTATGCCGTTATACAACGTTATTTCTATACTTCTCTACCTACCGTACAATATATATATATAAATATGATATAGCAGTTTCAAGGGAATACAACTTTGATTCTTTAACCAAGGGGTACCATCGAAAATAGTCAGAGTGTATAACGGTAATAATATTGAAAATAAAGTTTACTTATGCTCTCAAGCTCGAGTGAACTTTTCGAACAGTGTGTTGCAGTCAATGTTCAAAAAAGAAATGGTAGCAAATGTCGTTGATATAAATTTGTTTACAAATTGAAATTAATAAATAATTGTATAAATTAATAGTCTTACAAAGCCATCTTATGTAAAATTGGAATGCACTACTTTCCAATCCAATCAACCAATAATAAAGTCAAGAAAATACTTGTACAAGAATAAACCTTTTCAATATCTTTTAACTGTCGTAAAACGAAAACTCCATATGAACATTACTCATCTTGCTTGTCGATAATCATTCCATTCAACGATTCTATTCCCAAGACGTTCACTTAGCATTATTTACTAACCAGAGTAATGTACAATCGATCTATTTAATACATCTTCCTACCCACCCCATAAAAGTCATTCAAGTTTGCCATCACAACCTCTTAAAGTCTTATTCTAGACGTAATCATCCCCTCCACCGTCTCAGGAATACACTACATTTATCATCCAATAATTTATTCTCATCCGCAATGATGCAATAGTGGAGTTTTAAATCACCTCTTACCTCATCTTATGTAAAATTGGAATGCACTACTTTCCAATCCAATCAACCAATAATAAAGTCAAGAAAATACTTGTACAAGAATCAACATTTTAAATATCTTTTAACTGTCGTAAAACGATAACTCCATATGAATATCACTCATCTTGCTTGTAGACAATCATTCCACTCAAAGATTCTATTCACAAAGCGGTCACCTAGAATTATTATTTTTATTCAAAATCTCTCCAAATCTTAATTTTAATGTTACAAAATACAGTATGCCTAGTAGACCTAGAATTATTTTTATTTTCATTCAAAATCTCTCCAAAGCTTAATTTTAAAGTTGCAAAATACAGTATGCCTGTATGGAATGGAAATGAACTTCTGCGTGTCAAGTTGCATTAATAATTAACACATCACTACGAGCACAAAGTCAGTTTCAATTACAATACTTTACGAATAAATGAACGTATTCAAATTTAGTAGGCGCATTTCCTACACAAGACCGAAATGAACCTTAGTACGTCATCATTACAGATATATTAATTGCAGAGACGGCCATTTTCAGTGTCGGCCTTTATTGTAACAACATTACTAATCTCAATTATTAATACCATACATTCAATCATTATCATTGGTAAAAGACCTACAAGCATTCTGGACAACCTCAGCGATGCTTTCGATGAGACTGTAATGACCCAGCAGCAAACAGATGGTCAATCTAAAGTCGTACAATGTCGATTTTCTTGTCTACTAATTGTGAGCCTTGTAGAAGGATAGTTCTTAGGCGTTATAGTAGCAGAACTACTGTTTATTCTTACTAAATCTTTCGGCAGATTAGGGTAGTAATCAGTGGAAGCAACTCAAAGTAAGTACTTTACGTTAGACTAGTAAACGTGTCAGGAAGTAGTCTGTGACATAGTTATCCCCATTCCGAATTGGTATATGCTGAATAGCATGGAGAAAATAAAATATGCGATACCAATGCAGCAGCAAAGACATCATTAGAGGGCATACTTTTTTAATTCTTGTGCAATATGACCTCGTCAACTGCGGCTTACGGCACAGTTAAGAAAAGATTCAGCATAACGAAATTGTCATAAACCAAGTCTTACTGTATTATAGAGTACTAATTCTTCGGATGTCTTAATTTAGATAAATCAAAATATGGTACAGTTCGTTGCGACTAGAGACTCTCTCCAGAAAGTCTCTAGTTGCGACCATGTAGCGTAAAATGCGAGAAAGCAGTCGGCATGGATCAATATTGTGAATAGTATTCAATGACATGGTCATCGTAATCACAACTACCTTACTTTTATCGACGGACCTCAACAATTCTTGCCAAGATGCATAGCATAATAGCAACTACCCACTCTGATATCGTAAAACTAGCTCATCTTTAAACAATCTAAAACAACCAAAACATCAAGAATGGCACCTGAACTTGACACAGTTCATATTCTAAACTATTACGTTCCTTTCCAAATAAATGACTTTGAGTGACTTGGAATTTTGTGTTCTTAGCAACGATCGCCAGTATTCTCCTGCTATCGTTTACTACAGATAATTCATTAATACTCGTACGGGTATTAGGCATACTAGCTAACCATAGTAATTTTCAGCATTTCAACCGTAGGGCTATTAAGCATCCCAAAGCCGGCAATATCGCTGCCATCCGCATGAAAAGACTGCAAGGGTACTAGTTGACATTTAAAGTCCCATTTGCGCAATAAATGTTCGATTGTTCTGTTACAACTGTAAATATCATGGAGAAATTGGGTTATTTTACCTCAATAAATAGGTGCATTTTAAAATTTTATTCTTCTTACCAACTTGAAAGCGTATCAATTAGAAATAACAACCCATTCGAAAATGTACCTTCTTTGTTGATATGTCGTCCAGAATTGACAATTTGGATTTTGTTGCATTATTGCATGGACAGTAACTAAAATGTCCTCGAAATCTATCAAAGGAAGGTGAAAAATGAAGAGATGAACGAGTATTGATATGAATAAAAGTGTAGAACATCATTGCAGTCAAGATTAGTAGTCTGATAGTGTAATAACACAAAATAAACAAGGTAATATAGAAAATGAAGAGAGTAGCTAGTATTAATATGAATAAAAGTACACAACATCATTGCAGGAATATTAAATTAGTAGTCTAATCGTGCAATAACCTCAAATTTTCAAAGTAATACAAGATCAACTCATTGCAATGATGTCTACGAAACATAAACACACAAACATTTGTATCGACGCGTAGAGTAGCAAAACACCTAAAGTAGATAAACAACAAGTCATCGTTGGACAGTAGATGTAACAAACGCCTTGTTCCAACATGTTTTATGATCTTATAATCAACTCGATGAAAGATTAGCACAGATACCTTGACTATCGTAAAAACAATCTGAACCAAGAATGATATCCATTGCAGGTAACTCTAGCAGAGTTGATGATATCTGACCCCAGGTTATTCCTAAAACGACACCATTGTCAATGTTATTCAATTTTAGGTTGGTGTTACAAGCATCTAGAGCATCGACGAGTTGCTGGCTATCGGATAAAATGACATTGGCACCGCAGCGAGCGGCAACAATTCCAGGTAAAGAAGTTCCAGCTCCTATCTACAATACAAGAAGTTTTTGCATAGGCAAATGTCAATACCATGTCAAGTTTATTTTAATCTTAATAAATACTACACAACGCTAGATCTATCGGTAGTTCAAGGCATGCAAACATACATACCTCCAGTACAGATTTACTTTGAAGTTTTTGCCGATTGTGCCATACATACTGTGCAAGAACAGGAGCAGACGGCCAAATATATAATCCATAATCTTGTTGAATTGTCTATACTCGTATATCAAGGATACAGTACTTGACGTTAACTTAACGTGCTATTCAAAAGTGCAACTTCCATTCTAGTACAGTAAAACCTTGACAGAAACATTTGTTTGCACAGTCTTTATTACAGTAGTCTGCAACAGTAACCAGAGACTCGATCTAACATTTTCTACCTAGTAAGCTAATCTTCAACATGACATTGTACCAATGTGCCGATCATCTTACCGTTCATTGGAGTGGATCATTTACGAGTACAATTCAATCATGGTTCTATCTACGACTACCTGGTTTAACTCCTATCGAGCACTGTTGAATGGCTAATTTTGAGCTAATGCATCATGAGCAACTGATTTGAAAGCATCCATGCTTGCTTACAAGATTTAGCACACTATCTGAGAATGTCCATCTTCTCCTATCAAACTACGTACAACATGATACAGTAATATTTGTACAGCAACATTGGCAAGTACAATTTTTATTCCTAGACGCCGCAAAAGTAGCCAAGGACAGAAACACTATCGCTCTAGCCCAATTACTCTTCTATGTGACATTCAATAACAGTCCTGTCTAGATATTGATATAGGCATAAACCAATATCGCTAATATCGCTATGCTAACTGGGCTAGTCCAAGTACAATAACTACTTTGCAAATGCTAACCCAAGTGGCTCATGACGTGCTCATGTCACATCCAAGATTGGCGATGGAATCATTTTTAGCGAACCATCTACAGTAATGTAAAGTACAGTTGCACCATATCAAAGAATTGGCTTCGACTACCTTTGCATGATTGTGATTTTATGCATTGTTGTACCTCTTCTATCGTTACTTCCAAGTGTTCATCTTGATCTTGAAAGGAGAATTTTTTGCATGTCTTCATTTTGGAAACGGACAATCAAATCATCCACCAAATCTTACGTATTACCATCAATTAGTCTATCCCATTCGCCAGCGTTGTTAATAGCTCTATAACCAGTAGAAAAGCTGTATTCAAGCAGACTTTAGACTATCAGTATGGATATTTTAAGTTACTTTTCCCACAAGTCCTTTAGTTCAACCTTTCTCTCACAACAGAGCAGCTGGAAATTAGCAAATTTAGCCTTTCGAGTACGAGCAATTTTTCGATGGTGGTGCACCGTCAAGTATGAGCGCAATACTACAATCGACTTTCAATCATGCAAACTTACATTTGTATAGAGCAAGCGCGCATTCATGATACAGTACAGTACCGACAGTATGCAGTAACTTATACAGCTAATCTCGGCCATCATGACGAAATTAATGGAGCTAATCCAAGTTGATGATTATTAATAGAGGACATTGCTACTCGGATTACATCACCATTAGGCTAATTCAAGTATAATCAAAAATTCTACAGAATGGCTTAAGAGACTTTAGCGGCTCTACGGTAGTGTATATCTACAAGTCAATCTTGGCCTGTATCTTGAAATCATGAAATCAATCTGCAGCAAGACAGAATCCACATGAATTGAATTGTGCTCCTATGTCGATAATAGCAGTGATGGCTCATTTATCGAGTTCAATCGAGTAAGTAAGTCTACAATTCAGTCCTGGCCTCAGTCTTCGAATGATGATATCTACTGTACTGTAAAATGAACATTAATTGAATAGAGCTCCTATGTCGATAATAGCAGTGATGGCTCATTTATCGAGTTCAATCGAGTATGTCTACAATTCAGTCCTGGCCTCAGTCTTCGAATGATGATATCTACTGTACTGTAAAATGAACATTAATTGAATAGAGCTCCTATGTTGACAATAGCAGTGATAGCTAATTTATCGAGCTCAATCGAGTATGTCTACAATTCAGTCCTGGCCTCAAATGATCAAATATACAGCAAAATTATCATCAATTGAATAGTGCTCCTATGTTGATAATAGCAGCGATGACTATTTTATCCAGTTCAATCAAGTATATCCACAATTCAATCCCGTCCTCAATATTCAAATGATTAAATCAATCTACAGCAGAATCAACATTAATTTAATAGTGCTCCTATGTTGATCGTAGCAGTGATGGCTGTTTTATCGAATTCAATCGAGTATGTCAACAATTCAGTCTTGAAATAATGAAATCAGTCTGCAGCAGAATTAACATTAATTTGGTGGTGCATCTAGGATGATAATAGCAGCGATGGCATGTCATGAAATCAATCTGCAGCAAGACAGAATCCACATGAATTGAATTGTGCTCCTATGTCGATAATAGCAGTGATGGCTAATTTATCGAGTTCAATTGAGTATGTCTACAATTCAGTCCTGGCCTCAGTCTTCGAATGATGATATCTACTGTACTATAAAATGAACATTAATTGAATAGTGCTCCTACGTTGATAATAGCAGCGATGACTGTTTTATCCAGTTCAATCGAGTATGTCTACCATTCCACCCCGTCCTCAGTCTTCAAAGGATTAAATCAATCTACAGCAGAATTCATATTAATTTAATGGTGCTCCTATGTTGATCATAGCAGTGATAGCTAATTTATCGAGTTCAATCGAGTATGTCAACAATTCAGTCTTGAAATGATGAAATCAATCTGCGGCAGAATCAACATTAATTTGATAGTGCATCTAGGATGATAATAGCAGCGATGGCAAAAATAGACTGGAATTTTCTGGTTTCGCGTTATGTCATAAGTTAAGGATGGTAAACAGTAAAATAAATACACAAAAGGTGCATGTAATATGTCCTGATTTTAACTATTAAATAAAGAATATAAATATTCATTCGGCACTATCTGTCGATAGCTTTATATACATCTCCAGTAATATTTAGAATTTGAGTGACCTGTGGGCAACTTGAGCTCTCCCATGCCATACTCTATCTAGTATATCGTCTAAATATATCATCTAGGGCATTTTTCTTATCATTCTGAAAATTTTAAAATTTGCCTTATTGTCGCCAATCAATTTATCCAATCTCGATAATAATACCCACATTTTTACGGATTTACTTTTTTATTAGCATTATTGTTGTTGTGATTTCACAATCATAACAGCTTCGATAATACATTCGGTAGATTTAATTTCATCCGATCGGTAGCATGATTAATTGATTGGTGAGATAGAAATCTACGCGTTGGTAATTAAAGTTAAAATTAGATTATGACTTACATCGTATCATTTTTATGAGTACAAACATTATAAGAAGGAGAAGAAAATGCTACTCACCTCAGATAACATTAAGAAGGGGTTAATAAGCTAGATGAATTATCACCGAACATAACACATAGCATTGTAAAGATGGTATCAGCAATTTTTATAAATAAATAGGGAAAGCTTACGTTATAAGTTCTTCTCGTTCAATAATGACTTACCAACTACAAAATGCATTCTCTACACGTAGTGGTCTGTTCTGTAATAGCTTAAGGTATCTGTATATCAGCAGAAAATACATGGAATGCAGGGCCGGAAACTTTGACCTCTATAGGGTCTCTTCGAAGTATATAAACAGTTGTACGTCCAGGTCTTCCTACAAAATCTCCTTGTTCAGTGTTAACTTTGGCTAATGGTTGTGGAATCATTCCATTTCGAACCATATAAGCAGTCAATGGACCTTGAGATGATCCAGTTACTGGGTCTTCTGCAATTCCTATTAAAGGTCCAAACACCCTACTATGTGCATGGCTGTTTTCATCGACACCATGAGGTGTTAATGCACAATAAAGTATAATATTATGTTGTTCGGCATGAACTTTAGCAGTCTTTTGATTGATATTGAGCTCTTTCAGCTGTTGCAATGATTTAATAGCAAAATAAACGTAGCGATTAGTTTTTTCCATCAAGATTGGTTTGGATTGATCGATAGCATCTAAATTAATGGCTAATGCTTCAGCAAGTTGTGCATGATTGAAAGGTAGAGGATCAAGATTAATAGAGAGAGGAAAGAAAGAAATAATCGGTTCTTTACCACTCCAATCGATTTCACCTTTGACTAAACCAGCATTAATTTCAATATCATATTGTTTCACGATACCCTGATCAGCACCAAATCTTTTCTCTTTAGCAATCGTGGCCAATGTTGCTAACGTTACGTGACCACAAAATGTGATTTCTGCATCGCTAGGAGTAAAATAACGCAAGCGAAAATTGGCACGTTGACTTGTTAAAACATAACCAGTCGCGGAATTATTCATTTCTCGAGCAATATTTTTCATATCTTTCTCTGTCAGATTATCGGCATCGAGTACAACTGCTCCTGGATTGCCACCAAATAATTGAGCTGAGAATGCATCAAATTGATGAATGCGATTAGTTTTCATCTTGATTTAGGTCCGTGTTGAATCAAGTGCTGTTGTAGAACGTTGGCAAGGTGAAATACGGATTCATTTCTTGCTCGAATTCCTCCTTAAAGGTAATGCTCACACCAGATATAGAAAGATGGCATGATCATGTATGCAAATCGATCAGGTGATCTTCAGCCTATTAACAAACTTGATACGGTATTGTATAAGTTGAGCAAATTCATTTTCACTATCATGATGCAAATTAAATCGATGCAACATGTAGGAAATCGACAGCAGCATTTTGCTGTAATAGCAACAAAAATTGACTAATACACTGTCTAATAGCAGTGTACTGTAGACTATTGAATAGTCTCTTTCTTTCTAGAATCTCTTGTCTGCAATGCATTAAATCGATCTGATCATCTTCAGCTTTACTGAATATGACGATACTATGCAGCGATTTCAATATAATGAAGGAAAATGAACACATCTAGCTTTTTCGAAGGATATGCCCTAGACTAACGGTACTACTACTTTACTAGTAATACAGTTGCAATAATAATTCATTCACTATACTCTACTCCTACTTGAGTAAATGAAAACTAAATTGTATATTTGAAGAGTACTGTACATCAAGTTAAAACACTGCACCAGCATCAGTAAGAGTACTACTCCCTCTCGAACATATCGAAACCGGATAATTTACCGCATTAATTGATTTTACACTGTATAGGATTAAACGCTATAAAATGTTTAATCCACTCTCGTAATATTAAAACAGGCATCTTACTGCATTAGATTAATTTTATGCGGTAAGCTGTATAAGATTGAACACTGCAAAGTATTCAATTCACCCTCGTAATATCAAATCTGTATTGATATTCTTTTCGCAAATTTCATGCAAGTAACATAACAGCAATTACTAATTGTATTACATATCGCTCTTTTAATTTGCGATTTATTCCCTTCTTTCACCGATACTGCCGCAATATTTGCAAGTATTATTATAGTATATTGTTCAATTATATTAAAATCAATCTAATATACTGTAGTACTTTAAAATTCTGCAATAAAAGCAGAATGCAGTATTATCAATTATACTGTCTTTAATTCAGAATAAGATGAAGAAGTTATTTTCCAGAATTTCATTCGCTAAGCTTTCATTTGACCGCGGTATGGGCTTGGTGATGGAGAAAGTTTCTATTTGTCTCCAAATAATATTTAGCAGCCTTTCTTTCACCAATACTTATAGCCATCCTACAGTTGTAATGTTAACTTACAGTATTCCTCTCGCTAACTACGCATGAAATGTTTGAAACGAACTTTTTGATTTAGTGACCATGAATTATTCAATTATGCTAAATAGGCTTTTATTCTGATCTGCTGCTTGATAGTACTGATCATGAATTATTCAATTATGCTAAATAGGCTTTTATTCTGATCTACTGCTTGACATTACTGATTCATATAGACGATAATCTCATATAATCTCAACCAAATAGTACCTTAAAATTGCCATAGTGCTAATTTTATCATGACTTCATCTTTAAGAGGATCTTTGAGGCAGAAAGAGAAGGATCTTGCCGTAGTCTACGCAGTATTTGCAGAAACGTAAACTATGTCGTCCATATGAATACTTCCAGGAGCATAAGCTTAACAGCATTAGTCTGAAAAGTCTAATAGCTTAAAACAAAAATAGTACTCGTATTTATCAGCGGATTAGCGAAAACTAGAATGCATCATTAGCACCTGGGATGGTTTGCTTGTTTCCTATAAAGAAAGATCTTACGGTAAGATCAAATTTTGAAAATCACTTTTGCTCATGTTTTGAGCATCCATACCTCAACCAGCTTGCCAATTTGTAATTGCAAGCATTTTTGTTCGTTATACTCAATATGTTTATCAACGTCAAAAGTAGTCTATATTTAAATGATTTGTTATCTTTAACTATTGAAAACAAACGATTAGATCTTACCTTTTTCATCATCATATGGTCAGTTAATTTATTTTGCATCGATGGTTGGTAATGAATGATGAATTATTCAGCCTAAAAGTGGTAAAGGACCTTTTAAACGTAATTGAAATCTATCTTATATGCTATTACAGACCGTACTGACCAGATTTTGAGTAGCATCAATGATTACCATAATTATTTAGTGCTTTAAGAAAATCTGTTTTAGCTAATAGAACATTTGGCGGTCAGAATTACAAGAATTATAAATACTCCATAACATTATAACGAAAATAGTGCAAAACAAGGAAGTTACTAAATCTGAATTTGTAATAAAGGTTTATCCCACGCTCAAATTATTTTGGTAATACTTGTGTAAAAGTGATTAGTATTTAGAGACCGACATCTCTTTATTACAAGGGAATTTACTATCGTTTTCACGTGATGAAAACTAAGTTTATTGAATTACATTGTAGATTGATTTGCTTTTTTGGTGAAATTATGACTTATTCATAAATACAGATTATGGATTCATTGAGTATCTCAGTAATGAGCTGTCTTTTATACGTTGTATGGTTATGTTTTTTCAGATATATATCCACCGCCTTTCAGCCAATTTCGTTTAATTGAAGGCTTAGGAACATGCACCTATTTTCTAGCTTGGATATGACACAGACACAGCTTTTCTTCAATAGGTAAAGCTGTTATGTATTACTTAAAATTGAAACAGTGTTACTTTTTATTTTTATTTTGCCAGCAGATGTCTAACGGCTAGCTAATTCCAAGCTCAGTTACTGAAAGTATGTTACTATCTCTATGTTGCGTTATTTCCTTATTAACTGCTATTTCGTCGGCATCCAATGGAACTGACTGCTTACAAACATGCTATCTGCATGTAAATCACCAAGAAATTACTTATTTACAGTTTTCGAGAACAATCAACGACGGTGCAACGCGAGTAGTTTACTTTGATATATTGCGGGATCACTACTATAATGTTAACGCAACACTGTATGCTTGGGTTCGAGATAATGTTGGAGAGCCAGTCTTCTCTTTACCCATTGACTATATTGCAACATCCTTTAGCTTACCGATGGTATTCATTGATTATGTACAAGTCGAGTTTAATGAATCTACTCCACGCTGCTATATGCAATCAAGTCAGTTTTGCCAAAAGATTATGATTATGTCAGCATTAGCTAAAATGACCAGACTAGATAATCGATGTAATGGAACGAATTGTGGCAGCCTGTGTCGAAGACATTTTCATTTTCGAGACCAAGGTGATCTTGAACACAACACGTACTCATGTTGTCCCGAAAATAGCCTGGAAAAACAAGTGGATTTAGTGAAATGTCTTCAGCCACAGCAATTGAAACCTTATATTCCACTGCTACGATCCTTTACTATTATATTGGGAAGTTTGATAAGCTGTACAGTTTTATCTGCTATAGCAAATCGAGTTATAAAATCACTAGGAAGGTAAGCCACAGTAGCTGTATAAATTAATTATTAGTTACAATTTATTGTTACAGTTAAGGTACTCCATTATAAATTACATTATCAGCTAAAAATATTTTATGATTGCACAGTCTTTAAGAACATGTATTCTGAACAGTTTTCCTAAATCTTGATCAAGTATGAATGGCTTAGTAAAAAGGTTTTATGTAACCATAATCGCATAGTTGCAATAGGATGATAGTCTAAAATGAAGATTATAAGTTCATCATTTAGAACATTGTCTTACGATGCTGTAGTTAGAAATAACATTTAAATTTGGACATGTAAATATTCTTAGATTGTTCTTATACAAGACTAATTGCTGCTTGTTTTAGAGTGTACATTAATTTAAAAGAATCACTATCATGACGTAGTAAGGTAAATGTAGTATTAAAGTAAACGTTGAGTAAAGGTTGCGGGGTGTTTCTTTGTTAAATATAGCTGGAATTTTTCCTAATACATACTGTTAATGATAACCGTACAGACATGTAAACTTAAGCTTAACAATCATTAATTATAACATATCAAATATTCATCGCCATTATAGATAACATTTTCAACTATTTCATTTTTCTAGCACAATTACAGTTCAAAGTAATTCGTCTCCAAGCGTTGAGGATAATGGCGTTAAAGAAAGTGCTCTGAGAAAAATGTATATATTGTCACCAATTACTCGTCAAACTTCTATGTTTAATTATTTTAAAAATTTAATGAGCGAAAATCAGTCACTACAAAGAATGCATTATATATGTTATACAGCCATAGGTATTATAGCTATCATCTTTGCTAGCTTGTCTCTTACTGTGCAAACACAGCCATTACCTTTTGTCAGAAGTCTTAAGCTTGTGGCTTTGGAAATACCGTGGACAATTATAACCTTTGCCTCACTTCTTACAGTTTATTACATATGCAGCATTTTTTTTATTAGAATATATTTATCATGCATAGGACACAATCCGTCAAGTAAGCAATATCATTATAAATCTCGACATGTAAGATCTTATTACCAAAATTCTATTTTAAATTACGTAGATATATGGCATCCAGTTCAATTTATAAGTCAATTTATCCGAATACAAATGTTTCAACGTGATCCATCACTAAGCAATATTAATCGGTCTAATATTATTTTTATCATGTCGTGGATGCATGGTTTCATAACCATTGCCTCTATTTTTATTTCATTACAATGTATATTTCGAATGATTATCAGTGCATCTTCCTTTATTGTAGCTTACTCCTTATATTTTAGTAATATTATAACCATTACTATTCCTTTTATATATTATATCTACATTACGATTGATGCCTATATCAATAGAATGGATAAACTCTGTGGTGATATTACTGCCACCTTGCCTCAGGTAGAGAATGAACTAACAAGTATTTTAGAAGCTGACGAAGGTGAAATAGAAATCTATTTTAAAATCGACCAGGATCAAAAAGTGGTTAAATATACTAAAACAAGAAAAGAAAATGACAAAACTAATGGCGATGCTAATATTACAGCTTCCAATAGAGAGTTGCAAGTGTTAATAACTGATACTTCAAGCTCACCAAAACCTCATTTGTTATCGATGCTTGAAGATAGCGGTGATAATGATAAACTATTTGCAGATGAAACAGATGGGCTTCATGACCGTGGCTTGATCAATGAATTACATCAAGCTGCAATAGGCCATATTGATGTTCCAGAAATGCTTATTCCACATAAGGAAGAGATTCAAAAGAAACTGCAGCAGATTTTTGATTCTGGTACCATTCAGTTTGATAAGGGCACCTATAAAATTTTCTTTCATTACATAAGAAATGATAATAATAAAGTTCAGGTCGATTTGCCCCCTTGGAATGATCATCATTTGTATAAAGGTTGTATAATAGACTTGAAACCACTGGCAAATCAAATTGAGGAATATCTTCAAAATTGGAACATTGAACAATTTAAACAGAATTTAGTTAAAGTGTATGATCGGTTAGGTTATATCGATGAAGTTGAATGCGTTGCGATACCGGAAGGATTATTCAATTGGATTCGTTATTATTCGCCGGAATTATCATTTACCGTTTGGTCGGTTGTATGGAAAATTACTGTTTCATCTGGTATTTATGCCGCTCTACTGTTAGCCATTCCGGCTTATTCTCACATTGATTCTTTTGCTGGTTTCAATGCAGCTATCACTAAATTACCTGTTTCTCTAGTCACCATTATCATTGCTTTGAAATGCTTTCAAGAATCTACTGTAGATCAGGAAATAGCCAGAAAAATGTTATTATCCTATTTGATTCGATATAGAAGGGGCTATCAATTCTTTCATGAACAAGGCAATAATCCTGGGATATTTTCACTTCTTGGGAATTTTATAGCATCATTTTCTCATTCTAGAAAAGCTCGGCAATATATTCGGCTTCGTATGGGTAGTCATCATGATATTTCCATATAATTAGATGAGATCAAATAATATAATTTCAGGTCATACTTATTAGCAGCAATTTACAATATCGAAGCATATGGTATTTAGTTTACGGATCGATATTTTGAAGTAAAAATAAGTGTTTTATGCCTCTAGATATAAAATGATAAGTATGACGGTTATAAATCGCAGAATCGTCACCTCACAATAAAAATATTGTGATAGGTTTAATAGATTATAATAGCGGTATAATGTTTAGAATGGGACCAGTAACTGCAATTTAAAGTAAATCGATTACAAAGTCTAAATATTTAAGAATTATTAAAAATATTTTTATCTAGATAATAACTAGCATAACAGCCAACTTGAAGCTCTTATCTTCTGTTTTATGCCATTGATTTTTTTATTTACTATAAATACTATGACTACTTGATTGCATAATAAGAAAACAAATCTTAATATTATAAATTTTAAGTTAAAGCCAATAAACTTGTCATAAAATGAGTATTTCAGTATTCAAAGTGTGATGAACTCTTTCAGCGAGTAATATATCGCATGCAAAGTCTTAAAATACCTGTATCAAAATGTCAGTCTTGTTATGTCAATCAAATGTTCTAAGATTACTTAAAACAAACAAAAAACGAATCAATTTTTAATCAAGCAATAACTTTAAAATACGTACAACTGATGTTTTCCTACTACATCTTGCATATCTTTAACAGTTAGCAATATTTCATAAAATTTCAAGTTCATCTGAGTAGACGATATTTTACTTGAAAGTCCATCCATTTTTTTCTTTCCTGTCACCATCATTTTCAGTACTTTATCTTAAATATTGATATTCTGAAACTTCTATAACCTCGAATACTATTTCAAATAGGTGCAGGTAGATGCTGATATTCGTAGAAAAACCCTTATTGACGTAGACATAATGTTGTCACTATTTCAAATACTCCTCTATGAGCGTTATTTATATTGTGGAATAAGAGATTTAAAATGGAAATTAAATTTCGAGTAATGTAGGGAATATTAGTATTGCTGAAGATCCATTTAATTATGGGAACGATCGCTAGAAAATCTTCACGCAATACTTGTAGAATAAATTTAGTTCTCTCATGAAACGCACTCCATTTGAATGAAAAGAAGTCCTATTAGGGGCAGTGTTTAAGATTCTATTGAGATAGTATAGGTCTCAAGCGTTTATAGTTTGAATATTAATAGCGTTTAATTGACTCTATGTAGCTAAATCTCAGTACTACTTTGCGCCCTTGGATACCTAAACTTGACATAGCTATTCGCATTTGTTCATATCAACTTATTTCTAATTATTGAGATTCTCATAGAATTAATAAAGCTTTGACACGAAAAATACTTTACTAAAGAATTGGAACTACTAGAAACAGTACTTTGACATTATTTGGAATTCAAATCAACATCACGGTATATCGCTGATATCTATCTTTGGCAAACCTACGAGATTTCAGTAATTGACATACGTTCTCGGAATATGGCTATCCCTTTGGTATAGTGTCACGCTATGAACAACCTGAAATATCAGCTGACTAAATTCACGTTAGTAAAATCAAGTTCCTATATGGTAAACATAATGAATCCCTTACAGTAGGAATATAAGGTACTTGCTTAAGAAAAATCATGATTTTGACTTATTATAGTACGAAACCTTATGCTAATTCATTTTAAATCTACCATCTACGAGACGATCAAACTGATTCACTAGCTTTGATTAATTTACAAGCTTTTCAGGTAGCAATAGAGCTGACGACATTGTCATTGTTAAATAATGATATTACAAAGCTAGTTTTCAAAGCGAGGGATTTCCAATTTTAATATTTCTACATGTAAGATGAGTATAGTATTGGTCTTATGTAATAAAGCCTTATGGTAAACATTATTCAAAATACTTTCCATAAAATAGCACAGAGCTGAGATTATAGCTTGTTATACCGGCCCATTATTATTGCTAGCGTGGCGGTGCATTTCAGCTCATTATTCATCAGACTATATTGTATCCAATTTATTCAATGATTATAGAAATGTCAATAATTATAATAGGCTGCTCTTGTTATTCAAGCAGAATTGTTCTGCTTGATTAGTGTTATAGCGATCGTTGTAATGGAATATATGTGATGCGGTACTTTCTAGTTGCTATAGTACTAGATGCATTGTGCTGTCAATTTAACACCAAGATTTGAATATATTAAGAGATCTTTTAATTGTAACGAAAATAACCATAGGCGTAAATAGCGACTATCGCTATTGTTAGTGCTTACGACTATTTAAGAAGGTTGTTGAAGGAGTGTTAATTCTTATTCGAATCATTTATTATTTCATTACTATTGCGCTTAAAAGGCGCGTTGATCCGATGGATTAATTGGAAGATTTCAGTAATTGGGTAAAAGACGTGTCGTAAATTGCATTTAAATATTGATACAGCACCACAACCCTTTGAGTACGAATATATAAGGGTATAAGATAGAAGAATTCGTTCAAGGTTAGACTGCTCAAAAATAAGAAAGTAGCCATCGAATACGATCGTGAACTTTAAAACGGTGAATTTGTTGCTTCTAAAAAGGAGTAAACAACTGCTAGTAATACTAATATGCATAGCTTTATTGCAGCGGTTTCGTTTAGATTGATTTTTCTTGTTCAATACTAGACAGAAGCCGTAGTTCGCTCGTAACGATGACTTACAGGTTGTAGTTGAATAAATACAAAATATGGCTTTAAAAACTTCCCTTTCATTGAACTACCGAAAGTAAAATTTTACTGAAATTGTAGGAGTGCTACGACTTTGTTAAAAAGNGCGTTAAAATTACAATCGAAGTTTTTTATTAATCAATTATTTGTAATACTTAGCGCTTCTTATCCTTTACTCGTCGGTGATTTTAACATCTTACTTGTGAATTAAATAATTTCGTTTTCGCGAGTAATAAAACAGATCTTGGATAACTCAAATATAATTCCTTGAATAGAGTAAATAAATCTATCTGTAGGTGTGACATAGAATAGAAATATGTAGATTTCAAGGGATCAATGACTAATTGTCTGTTGTTCAAGTAATAATTCAATTTATTCGTTGATAAGTGATTATATTAGGGTATTAGTGCCGTTAAATTAATTCTAATTGAGCTGGATATATTCATTCTAGTAGAAATACATGAATATGAGTATATCTCAGTTATGTAGTTCTGTAGCAAAAATATTATCTTCATTACCTATTTATGATCGAATACAAATTATTGCTTACTTTAGCAGTGAGCTAAATTTCATCATTACATTTTTTTTAGAAATCTACCCCAACTTCACACAGATTTGACACTGGTAAGAAGTCAATAGCTCTATTAAAACTTTCTTTTAATATGTCGTATATTTTGAGAAATTAATATTTTGCACATACTTTTCATCATCTGCCAGCTAAAAACCTAGTAAATATCCAATGCTTGCAAGTTCAGCCATGAGAAATACACTGCTATTCTTCTTTTTCGTTATTTTCTTATTGATTGTACCTTCACCGGCTTCTAATGTAACTAAATGCTTACAAACATGCCATTTGAAAGTAAACGATGATGAAATTGCCTATTTACGGTTTATTAAAACCATCAGTGATAGTGCAACTCGAGTAGTTTACTTTGATATATTACGAGATCGGTACTATAATGTCAACGCAACATTGTTTGCTTGGGTTCGAGATAATGTTGGAGCACCAATTTTCTCTCTACCTATTGACTACATTGCAACATCTTTCAATTTACCGTTGGTATTTATTGATTATGTGCCAATCGAGTTTAACGAATCTGCTCAAAGCTGCTATATACAGTCAAGCCAGTTCTGTCAAAAGATTATGATCATGTCTGCATTAGCTAAAATGACTAGACTAGATAATCGATGTAACGGAACAAATTGTGGTAGCTTGTGCAGAAGACATTTTCATTTTCAAAACCGAGGCGACCTTGAAGACAATATATACTCATGCTGTCCTGAAGATAGCTTGGCAAAAGAAGTTGATTTGTTAAAATGCCTCGAGCCAGATCAAATGAAACCATATATTCCCATTCTTAGTTCCTTTACTATCGTTTTGGGAGCTTTGATAAGCCTTAATGTTTTATCAGCTGCAACAAATCAAGTAATTAAATCACTAGGAAGGTAAGGCGTTGTACCTACATAAACTAATGATTGACATTCATTGTTACAGCTAGCAGTTCGCCTTCGTTAATTGCATTGCTAGCTAATGAATATTCCACGATCATACTTCTTTCGCGTCATATTGCAGATTTGCTCAATTTTATTAACTTACATTTAAGTTTAGTAGATTGCTGATCAATAGAATTACAAAACCTATTGATAAATTGATACTGTTACTAAATTTTTATTGAAGAAATAATGCATAGTAAAAAGCGCTGAGACTATACCGATATCTCACCGTTTCTGTCCTATGAAAGTCTAAATTGAAAGCTACTAGTGCTTCAGTCAGATTATTATTGCAACATGATGACGTAAGAAGTAAGGTTAATATTTAGAACACGCTAGTACCATTTGATGCTAGATAAACTTCAGCTTGATTTATGCGGCACATTAATAATTTGCATACATGAAAACGCGAGTATAGTATTGAGTAAAAAATAGATATACGATCAAAGTAACTTAAACTAATAGTTTCTATATATTTCTTACTGAAATACGGGTTAAAAATTTCATAATTACTATTAAACCATGCTGTTATAAGTAGTACATCTACAATTTTGTTACGGAAAGTAAATTTTAGTATGTTCTATATGGTACCTGATATTAAAAATTTACAATGATTTGCCCTCAATTTTTCTCACCTTGAAAGTAAAGTGTAGTACTAGTACCCATATACTGTATTTTTTGGCTAAATTAGCTTATTGATTAATCAATCGATTAATACCTACATATTACTAATAGGGATACTTTTTAATCTTGAAATATTGAACATTTCGCTTAGTATACATAAATGTTTATTGCTAAATCGTAATTATTATATCTACAATACTAACATCCTTTATTTTTGTAGTACAATGACAACCCGAAAGTATGATTCTGACAATGCTACGAATGATAATAGTGATTGTAACACTCTAAGAAAGATTTATATATTGTCGCCATTAACCAGGCAAACCTATGTGCATAACTATTTCAAATATCTGGCGGAAGAAAGGCCGTCAGTGCTAAAAATGCATTACATATACTATACAATTATTGGAATTACAGCCATCATGGGTGCTGGTTTATCTCTAACTATACAAACGTTGCCTTTACCTTTTGTTACAAGCCTTAGACTTGTGGTATCTGAAATACCATGGATAATCATCATTACTGCTATAAGTCTTGCTTTTTATTTGATAATCAGTATTTTTTTCATAAGAATATATTTATCATGCATAAGACATCATAAAAACAGCAAACAATATCATTATAAATCGTGTCAAGTAAGATCTTTTTATCAATTTCCCATTTTAAATTACCTAGATATATGGCATCCAATTAAATTTATAAGCCAATTTATTCGAATACAGATATTTCAAGATAACTCATCATTAAGTATCATTAACGGTTCCAAGATTATTTATTTCATGTCCTTGGCCAATGGCTTCATAACAATCGCATCTCTTTCTATTTTATTGCAATGCATATTTCGAATGATCATCAGTGCGGCTGTCTTTATCATCGCCTATTCATTGCATTTTAGTAATATTATAACTATTACCATTCCGTTTATATACTATATCTACATAACGATTTATGGTTATAATAGTCATATAAGCAACCTATCTAAAGATATAGCAGCAGTTTTACCTAAAGTAGAGGATAAAGTGAAAACTATTTTGGAGGCTGATAAAGGTGAAATAGAAGTTTATTTCAAAGTCAATCAAGATCCTACAGTTGTCGTTGCTCACACTGAGATAGAAATAGAAATGAATACGGCTCCAGAAAATACCGACGTTTCGGTATCATATAGTAGATTAAAGGATATAAGCCTTATTATCGATCTTCCAGAAATACTTATTGCACATGAAGAAGAAATCAAAAATATGCTATGCATAATATTCAATACTAAATGTGTTCAGTTTGGTAAAGGCATCTATAAAATTATATTTCATTACAATAAAAATGAAGGTGATACAATTCTGGTCGATTTGCCTTCTTGCAATGAACATTATTTGTATAGAGGCTGCTGTAAAGATTTAGAACAATTAACAAATGTAATTGAGGAATATCTTCGAGATAGGAAGATTTATCAGCTCAAAAAGAAGTTAGTTCAAGTTCACGATAGAATTGGTAACATTGATGAAATTGAATGTGATACAATACCGGAAAGTTTATTTAACTGGATTCGTTACTGTTCACCAGTACTTTCCTGTAGCATTTGGACTGTAATATGGAAAATAATTATTTCATCTGGAATATATGCCGCTCTAATCTTAGCTATTCCAGGTTATTCGCAAGTTGATTCTTTAGCTGAATTTAATGCAGCTATTAGTAAACTACCAGTTTCGCTAATAACCATCATTATTGCAGTAAAAAGCATTCAAGAATCTACAGTCGACGAGGAAGCGGCCAGAAAAATCCTTCTGTATTATTTGATTCGATATAGAAGAGGCTATAAATTCTTTTATGAAGAAGGTCAAAAACTTGGAATATTTCGCCTTCTCATGAATTATATAAGATCGCTTTCATCTTTTGGAAAATTTATGCAGCATAATTTGCAAAATATCCGGTTACCAAATGGTAGTCGTAATAATAATGATTGTTCCTAATAAGATTTATCAAGCAGTTCAGTCTGTGAACTTTATTAACTTGCACCTAAAACGTCCAAAAATGGCGTTTAGTATAACATTCTGATTTGCGAAAAAATGGAAAAAATGTCTTCCTGATACAAGGACAGATAAATAGTTGAGAATTACTTTTGAAAATCACAGATTCATCCTATTACAAGATTGGGCATTTTGGTAATTTCAATAAAATTAAGACACCTATTGAACATGTGATGAAGGTTAATTTTTAGAATTTTCCTTCAAGTTCTTATATAGTAATTATTCTAGCTTAGTTATTGTATCGTGATAAGTATTCTAGAATTAAAAAAAAATATATCTTATTTGGTTAATTATAATGGGAGATTTTACTTAGTATCTTAGTATAATGTAAACCCGACTGCTTTATTCGGGTTAGAAGTTAAGATAATCCGTAGCATAATTTTTGTTAAGAATCAGATATTTTGATTTTGTAATTCAGGCAATATATTCAGTTAATAGAATATATGTGTGCTAATTTTGATCATTAATTACAGTAGAAGTTAATGTTACTTTGTAATTTCATACAGTATGAACCCAAAACATTTGATCTGCGATTGTTATTTTGTCTTAGTGTATACTGCAGAAATGTACAGTTTCAAGCTAAACTGTACTTAGTATCAATTTTAGTAGTTTTCAGGAATCTAGGGTGCAATTTATCTTATCATGTGTATTTGATTGCTAATTTGATTTGGAGTACTTTAGAATGATAGTGAGATAGTCTAACACCACCAATTGATCTGCGTAACATATAAAACGTGGCGTAGTGCGGTTATTGAGAGCAGTTGAAGTTAGAGAAGACGAAAAAAGTCTAGGATGATCGTGAGTTACCTCATTAATTGATAGTTTGGTAGGTTGAGGTAGTAGTTCTGCCCGTATTTTGTTATCGATAGAAGCTTTTGCTAAGATTGTTGTTAAAGTAATAATAAAGTGGTGTTTTTCCCCTAATTTATTTTGTTTGGACTTCAATTGTTGGTAGTTTAATTTTATATAGAATATTTTATTTTATTTTTAAATCCAATACTACTAATATTTGGTATGAGACCATCTACTCAAGCAGAAGTTTGAAAATTTTTAGATTAAAATGTTTATCTTTGCATTCGAACTGTAGTGGACTCTTCTCAGCGATTAACATTCGTCATGGATTTGCATTAATGAAATGTGTACAGTACATTAAAGTCGTCTAGTATATGTGAAAATGGTACTATTCATTACTAAAATGCAGGTAGCTCACTTATAATAGTAATAATCAAAAACAAACTGTAATTCCCAGTTGTTTAGTAGAGCACGTTACCAAATTTAGTAAAGATATTTATATATGACTACCGGAAAAACTTACTAACTGATCTTTACTGTCGGATAAGGTCTTCTACTAGTATAATCGAAATAGTGATATTTACTAGCACTTAAGATAGTTATAAAATGAATAAATTGGGTTACCAACGCCAATATGCCAGAATTACTCTATAAAAAAATTAATACTCCTATACAGTTTCCGCTGATGTCTATCCATAATGTACCTGCTAAATCTTGATGCTTCATATAAGTGCAGGGTCTCGACCTCTAACTACGATATTGACCGTAATAATGAGTCTACTCACTGAATTAATTAAGGGCTTTATTTGTGTAAACTAACCTTGATAGGGAATACGGTCTACTAAGGCTAGTGTTTCAATATCTTATTGGGATAATAATAATCGTATCCTTTATCAGCTATAATTAAATGTATATTATATGCGTAGAATTACAGTAATTCAATAGTAACTTTTACCACGTGATAATTCTCCTCTCCGCAGGTTATTATGGTCGCACTCTCCATGATCGATCAAGGTGAATAAATTACAATCCTGTTTATTCTGTAATTAAATTTTCCTTCCAAATTAATGAGTATAGCTATCTTAAGAAGAGCTTGTAAGTACATCTCTTTATTTCTTGAATGATATTCGCTATTAATCGGATTTTGCTTAACTGCAAGGTGAAAACTTGTATCAATAATTAAACAGTTTTTCCTAATAACTCTGTTTATTAATCGTTATAGAATTTAGCTAGTTTACCAAAATGGCGTCTTACCAAAGTGTACCATTAGATGTCCTTAAATCACAGTCATTAGTGGAATTTATTAAAGAAAAGACAAATGCTGCCAGTTTGCAAGTAAGTTACAGTCTGAAATTCTACTTTGAAAAAGACTTTAAATGAAGTTGATCGATCAGTTAAATGAAAAACATTCAATAAAATTCACCAATAATAATTACATCATAGCTTTTAAAAATCAAAACTGTTACTTCTATAACATTGAATTAATCTTGTGTCCATTTGAAATTTATGTTTTCATTAATGCCGTACGTAAAATTTAAGAACGAAGATGATCCTTTCTACTTAGTGGATATCAGCGATCTTATATGCAAGTACAAAACGGTGAGTAATCGTCATAAGCAGCTGCAAGCTCATCGTTCTTGTGTAAGAAACATTGCGGTTTATTTCTTTATATCTATCTATATAGTTCCATCTTGAAATGGTCTAGTTCAAGCTTTAGTATAATTAGTAATAATGTCGGCAGTTCGAGTAGAGGAATAAAATGCTCTTAGCAAATAGTATTTCAATGGTACTTTCTAGTAGTTCCGAAAACTACAACACAGTGCCTTAAAGGACTATGTAGTTACTTATCATTGTAAAGAATTAAAGGTGTAATAGGCACCACAAAATAGCTTAAAAAAATGATGATAGATCAAACATTATTCCAATATTATTTTTAGAGTTGAACCATAAATGTACAGCATGTTATTGTCAGTCAAGTATTGAAAGTTGTCGCTCTAGAAACTATTCTATCAATGTTAGTATGCGTAATGTATTAAACACATTTTGTTGTATTAATTATTTATTAAATCGTTCTTTTTAGATCTTTTCTTATATTCAAACATATTAGTAAACTATTCACTTAATGAGCAACGGTTTCTGTTATATTTTTACTTGATATGATGGTATCAATTTACTGGCTACCATTCTGTTCCTATTACGGTCACTATTACTGGTTTTAGTGGATGTCTTTGCTACCTCGTATCAGGCCATTTTACGGTACATTTCCTTGATCTAGCGTTTTAAATTACAGCTGAGGGTTTGTAATTTAAGTAGCAATAATATCTACTGAAAGTTTGTCTTAGCGATTTTATACTTACTTTTGTAGCGATGAAATGCAATCCGAATTTCCAAATGGTGGCAACTCTTTGCCGTTTAGGTGCTGGTTTGGACGTAGCAAGTGCAGTATGTTACGCTTGTTTATATATATATATATAAGCTCTGATATATGTTAACGCCTTTAAAGTTAAGATTACATTTAAATCTTGTCAAATGTGATATTAAAAATAGGGAGAAATAGAGACTGCGGTAGCCTTGGGTCTCAAAGGCGAGGACGTCATCTATTCTAATACTTGCAAGGGGATTTCTCATTTGAAGTAAGTTTAAGATTAAAATGCTTCGCTTTACTGTAAGTAACCATAAATCGATTACCTATCAGGGTTATTGGCATTTACTTCTGATATATTATGCATTAGACAGTCTAAATGGAACTAACATTATATGTTCGCTTAAATTTAGGGTAGCTGCGAATGAAGGTATAACGCAGATGACATTTGACAGTGAAGAAGAACTGCATAGAATTAAGCGTATACTTCCCAATGCCCGGTAAATGTTACTTATTTTCCTGGAAAATAAATTTATTGTTCCGTACATGACTTTAAGGACTAGTAATATTTACGCAGTTGAATTTATATAGACTGTTATTGCGGCTACTTGTGGATGACTCTGGCGCCCAGTGGAAGGTACAGCTTTGCGATAAAATGGCCATATATGCTTCTTTTGACTTTAGTCTAAATATCATTATTACGGCTCATATTAATACTAGCACGGAATAAAAGCTGGAGCTCCTTTTAGCAGAGTATCTCACTTATTTAAAGTGGCCAAAAAGTTAGGCTTAAATTTAGTGGGAACAAGGTAATGCTAAAATGGCAAGTGAAGAGACTTTATTATAGCCAATAAATTGGCTATAGCGCTGTATCAAATAGTAAATAGTAATAGATATACTATCATAAATTGAAATGGAGAGAGAAGTCGAGATGTAAAATTGGTTATACAAATTTTAATATGAGATGAGATTTGATTTTACTCAACTTTCTATTCAACGTCTATGCTAACGCAATTCAAATTGTAACATTGCTGGTGGCTTTAATACAAGTTTTCATGTTGGTTCCGATTGCGGTGATCCTAGTGCATATTCTAAGGCAATAGAAAGGTGTAGAAAGGCTTTTGATATTGCGGTTAGTTTCAAATTTGTAGTAATATTAACTTTTATATAATTTAAATACTATAATTTTCGTTTTAATTCTCGATGCTTAATCATAACAGAAAGGCTTAGGCATGGAACTCAGTATGTTAGATATCGGCGGTGGATATCCAGGACATGCAGATACATTATTTAAAAATGTAGGTGCTACTGTTAACACCTAATGATCTTGCACTTGCCTTATAAGTCTCGTTTCTTACTTCCAGATGTGTCAGTCTATAAATGAAGCAATAGATATCCATTTTCCATCAGGCTGTGGAGTCAAAATAATTTCTGAGCCAGGTAACCTTTTAATCTTTCAGATTGGATGCACTAAAGTTGATCCCATTGAATGTTGCTTAAGTCAGTTCTAGTATAAAAGATTCATAATTGAAATTATGAATTTAATTATGAAATTTAGGCAAGTACTTTGCGATGTCTTCTTCGATTCTATGTGCCAATATTATTGGTAAACGTCTAAGATACGAAGATGGCGATGTTCAAATCGAAGGTGTTAAAGCTTTAGTAAACCAATTTATGATATTATACATCTAACAGTTAATGGACTGAACAATATTGCTATAAATAACGGCACATAGCTGATAACTCATGTTGAACTTAATTCTTTTAATTTCAGGCAATCCAGATGATGCAAAAGACACTGTAAGGGTCTTATGTTGTGTTTACCGTTAGCTTAATTTTAAATCTTTCATATCTTTACGTTTCAGGAAGTTATGTATCACATTAGTGAAGGTATGGGAGGCTCTTTTCTTAGCGTAATTGCTACACATCAGCAGTATATCCCGAAAAAATTGTCGAATAACAACGAAAAATGCTACCGTAGCAGCCTTTGGGGGCCTTCATGTACTGCAACAGATTGCCTTTTAAGTGATTTTAATCTTCCAGAGGTAAAATTTAATTGAAGGAAATACTGATATAATTGATATTGCAAGTTTACATAACACGTTACTACATTAAAAATACTTTACTCTGTTTCGCTGGGCAGATGGAAACTGGTGAATGGGTCTACTATGACGGTAAAAACAGCTAAACTAGTTCTTTATCCTTAATAATATACGGTAAAAGCAATACCGGTGCTGAAATGAAATTGCTTTATTTAATAAAAGATTTAGGAGCATACACATCGAGTACCGCTACTAATTTTAATGGGTTCAAGAAGGCTAAGAGTAGCTATTTCATAAGTGAAGATTACTGGTACGACATATTTTTGCAAAAGCTGTAGAAAATTTGATTTCATCCTCTTTACATGCAATCATATAGAGAAAATTCAAATTAATAAATTTTTAATTTATTTTCTATTGCGATAGGAATCAGTTCAAAAAAGAACTGTCGCCCATTTTCAATGTTTAACGCATCGCATAACCATAACCTAAATTGTAGTAGAAACCGTAATCGCTATCTAGAGCACAGACTGTGCCTTGTTTGATATTTAGCAACATAATATCACTTTTTTAGGTTACATTAGCACCTACTTTAGTTCAATAATTTTAGTTTACGTGGTCTTGATAATCAAAAGGAGTCAGTGAAAGAAACTGAAATTCGAAAATCAACGTATAACATTAGTTTCCAATACTGAATCTACTACCAATCTTGAACATTGGAAGAATTTTCCAATCCCAAACCCATTTGATGCTACTCTCGTAATTAAATTTTTACCCTGTCTGAACTAAAAATAAAAATTTCAAACAATCTATTTACTTTTATTTTTGTGTATTTATCACCGAAGTATGCAGCGTAATCATACAGCATAGAGAATTGTCGCAGTCAGCCCCAATTATGTATAAATGTACTTTGATGACCACTTTTCAGTATTGCGGCGTAATGCATGAGTTATAAAAATTGGAATGATCGATCAATGATTTGCTTACTAAGTAATATTTAAGGCTAAGATATCCAACTCTTATTATAAACTAGCATACACAGACCTTTTTAAATATTGTAATAAAAGCAGATTTTTATTTTAAGTTTGTAGGCCTAACTTTATTGTGGCGTAGTAAACTTATACAGAATAAGATATAGTTTGCCGTATTACAGTATTAAAATCATAATCGCCATTTAGAATATAGATTGTGCCTCATTTGATATTTGGCCATACAATTTTTTTTCATCGGTTATACTAGTACCAGATAATGTTAGGGTTAGGGTTAAGCTTAGTAACTTTATTTGCCTGTTTTTGATAATTAAACGCAGTTCGTGAAAGGAATCTAAATTCGAAATCGACTTATAATATCAATTACTGACACTTTCAACTACTGCAAATGTTGAATCTTTTAATAGATTTTGTAAATCTCAAGACAACTTTTATTCTTCATTCGTATATTAAATCCTTGCTCCGTTTCAAAGTTATCAGAAATAGTGATATTATCTTAGTAGACTATGAACTAACAATAAAAATTATGATATTGGAAATTTGTTTATGTTAGTGCTTTATATTTAGTACCATAGTGTGCAGTGTAATAGCAGACCAGAGGGAATTGAAACATTAAGTCTCAATTATATATGCGTGCACGTTGACAACTTTGTTTCAGTAATGTGTTGTAGTAAATAACTTAAAAATTTGGACTATTCAATATATGATTTGCTTATCACGTAATATTTGGCGAAAGTTATTACTTGCATGGACCGTGGTGTAACAGCATTACATTTTCATTTATAAATAGGGCTAATGTGGTAAATCTTCAGTTGGTTTCAATTGGTGAGAAAGATCAAAATTCATTAACCCAATTTTAGTAGGGTATGCAGTATGTTGGAAATCTGAATTTCCAATATAGATTCCCATAGCTTTGAAATCAAAGTAATAGCTATACAGGGTGTTTACTACAGTCTTTGTATTGACTAGCGGAATATTTATGGCATTGATAAATAGAAATTATAATACACTAAATGCGATTACGGTGCAAAAAAATGTATGGAAATGATTGCTTGTAAAAATAATCTATGTCCGTTTATCCGGTTTATCTTAGTCGTTTTCGACAGATTATATGAGAGGTGAAAATTGAATTCACTCTCACGGACAGAAGGAATAATAAACGTAATTTTAAAACTACTCTCTCGGTTGTAACGGTTTATTGCATATCATATGGATTTGATCAACTTAAATAACTCAGATTAAGAGTTAGAGGTCGAGAACCGATAGTAATAGTAAGAGATTATTACTAGGTCATTACAACCCTACTTAACCTATGCTATAATATTCCTTACGCTACTTAATACTTAATATGGCTCCTGCAAGTGAAAGACCCCTAACTAAGTATGATTGTCATAACTTACTCGAAGCCAATCATACCTAATTTACTGAGATTTGCTGATACCACTTACCGAAGCACCCTGTAGTCTCGCTTAATATTACGACTAATATATCTAACATCATTTACTAACCATATGCGATGATTATAACACTTAATAGGGTGATTCTAACTCCGCTGGTCTACCATCTTATTTATTGCTATTATGGCCTTACTATAACCGAGTTTCCTACATAGATTACCAGTATTTTTTAGCAATAAGGCAATACATTGCATTGCGAAATAATTATTAAAATCAAATACAATATTAAACAATTTATCTGTAACAGAACTACTTTAAATTCGATCTTTAAGTAACTGCAATTGCTTCTGGTATACTAGTTTGCATGTAAACAGCGTAGAATAATACTGTAAAAGCCATCTTACTTTCTTTCGAATTTTCTTGATTGCCTTAAAGCAGGTTATTACTGGAAGATTTCTATGAACTACTGTTTGGCAACACAATATTATTACTCATGCCACAGCATCACTCTTCTTTACAGTTAACATTGTATCCAAGTAGGATTTAATTCCTTCACTTCAGCCTGCAGTTTTCTGTGCTTCGTCACAAATTTCGCTCTCAGTAAATTCAACAACTTCCGATTATAATCCCAGTGATTCAGTATTTCTATCGGATGATACTAAGTATTCTAAAGGAAACCATAATAAGACTCGTAATTTTATCGTCAAATTGCTCCGAATCAACGACAGCTGTTTTTTAAATTTATTATTTAAAGACAACAGGCGATTATACTATTTCATAGAGACAAATATTATTAGAGCGAGAAAAATATGTGATGACACCATTTAATCCTTTTTCTGCTGTGGACTAGATGAAAAGGATATAAAATGAAATTTGAACTTATTAGAACGTCAAAGTATGTTGATCCAATATGAATTTTGATATCGATAAAAGAAAAATGCATTGAATTTGACGCTAAATTTATTAATAATTCATGCAAATGCATATTTAATAAAGGTTGTGTCACGAAAAGTGCCCTACTGAAAGAGTAATTACTACTAAGCCAAGTAATTTTAAACTTTATGATAAGAGTAACGATGATGATTCACGCTTAATTTAATTAAAGCTATAGAATTGTGTTTTATCAAACTTCTTTGCATTGGATTTATTCACCCAATTGGTATAGAATTTGTAAGTATTCGCTTTTCTTCTTTTCTCTCCAATACGTAATACTTTTCAATATTTTATTTAGTGATATTAAAAGAGTTATAACAATAATTACTGTAATTGAAAAATCCGTACCTAATGCATGTTCGCGTAAATCGCATTGAAGGATCTAGTAAACTCAGCAATATGGCGTGCCCTCATCAGGTATCAATAGATGTTATTCGATCGAAATCTCTGCAAGAAATAATAACAGAAAAAACGAATGCAGCTAATATAGAGGTCAGCTTATCACAAAACTTTACATATAGATTTGAACTGGGTCAGTATTTGAGCATTAAATTCTCAAATATATGCAGGTTTTTTGATTAATTTCAAGCCTACTTTGCACTTTTATGGTTTTAAGATAATGGCTCCATTTTGAAGTTTTTTCTTATTAATGTATTGCATTTTAATTAAAGAATGAGGACGATCCATTCTATTTAGTGGATATCAGCGATGTCATAAACAAGTATAAAACTGTAAGTAATGATACTCAAATGCGCTCTTAATATCTATATTTGAGATTTACATTGCAATATCCTACTTTATATCTTTTAAATGTTATAACTGCCTAATTTAACACTTAATAATAAGTATCATTCTGTTTAAAGTACTTATTAATATATTGGTTCCAAACCGTATCATGCTATACCACATTAAGTGCAAAAGTATTTTACTAGCGAATATTTTTAGATTCTAATGAAATACAGAGCATAAAAAATATATTAGACTCTACCGATCATCAAAATCTTTTTGTAACTCCTGCATTTAAACTTGAAAGAGAATTTGCAATAAGCTCATATTGTTTAGCCAATTTGTATCAACTTAAGAAATTGCCCAAACTAAGATATTATCTATTAAATTGGCCTTATTTGGTCTTAGCATTAAGCGTTTCCTTTATATCATTTCTCGTAGCTAAATAGTGGTATCTGCACACTATTTCTTCAATGAGTCACGCCAATTATTGTATTTTTCTCATTATGATGAAATAAATTTTCTGATCATACTTCATTTTCTTACTGTCTCCATTGAAAAAAAGTGGATTTCCATGATACCACGTGTTAAGCCATTTTACGGTACATTTCCACTATCAAATATATTGCAACTTTAAAATTTGCTGCAGCTATTTTTCAAAGTTTTCTTTATTACTCACATTTTCCTTACAGCAATGAAATCAAATCCAGATTTTCAGATAGCAGCTACATTATGTGGTTTAGGTACTGGTTTGGATGTTGCAAGTGCTGTAAGTTGTACTTATAATCTTCTATATTCAAAATATAGTTTCAGTTTAAATCATTGAAAATATTGAAAATAGGGAGAAATTGAAACCGCTGTAGCAGTAGGTCTCAAAGATGAGGATGTTATATACTCTAATACTTGCAAAGGAATTTCTCATTTAAAGTAAGTAAAAGATTAATTGCTTTCATTTTGGTACAGAAATATGCTAGCTAAATGTACGTTGTTATCGATGTGATGGTGTTTGGTCAGAATTCTTTTCATTATTCTATTCTAGACTTGAAATTTAGAGTAGTACGACATTTAGTACAGTTAAATTTTTAAATTTGTAACAAAGATAAGTCTATTGATTTGTTTAAATTGAAATTATTAGGGTAGCTGCTAAAGAGAATTTAACGCAGATGACATTTGACAGTGAAGTCGAACTGCATAGAATTAAACGTTTATATCCTAGTGCCAGGTATATATTTTAAATATGATTGGATAAGTAAATGTGATGTTAATGTTTTTAACTCTTATAAAAATAACTTTGAGGATATTTAATAAACATATGTAGACTAGTATTACGCTTACTTGTGGATGATTCCCATTCTGAGCTTAAGGTAGAGCTTTCAATATATTGTTATATCGACTCTCCTTTCGCCTTATTTAACTTGTTGTTACTACTTCATGTGTTTCCTAGCTTGGAGTAAAAGCTGGAGCTTCTTTCAGTAGAGTGCCGCATCTATTGAAAGTTGCTAAAGAATTAGGTTTAAATGTGATAGGAACAAGGTAAGTGATTATTCTAATACATGAATCGGCGATAAAGTTCTATGTAGTAGATTAACACAAACATTTGCGTTAGTTTTCATAATTCGGAAGATACAGTAAGCGCATAACTATCATTATCTATTTCGTAATCCAATATTAACCTAAAATTTAATTCGAGTTAATACATTTTTACGGCTTTAACGCTTCATAATAGTTTCCACGTTGGTTCTGAATGCGGTAGCCCTGATGCTTATGCCAAGGCAATAGAAAAAAGCAGAAGGGTTTTTGATATCGCGGTTTGTTTAAAAATTATCCTATAATGTTGCTCAATTGTTATAATTTTGGTTGAGTATGGAGGCTTATTTACATTTATGCAATAGAAAGGGCTCGGTATGAAATTTAATCTGTTAGATATCGGTGGTGGATATCCGGGGCAAATAAACGAATTGTTCACAAATGTAAGTCATCGTTATCTCCCAAGGTATATAACAACCTTTTGCTAACTATGACAGCCAAACTGCTATACTTTTAGATATCTCGTATTATAAATAAAGCATTAGACATCCATTTTCCTTCAGATAGTGGAGTCCGAATAATTTCTGAACCAGGTAATTCTCTGTGGCTATCTTATGAACGTTTAAAGTCAATTTAATTTCTATTAAATATCCAGTTCGTTCACTGCAAGACAAAAATACTATGAATATATTAATATATATTTACATTAAAATTGAACACAAGGCCAATACTTCTCTTGTTCTTCATCAATTCTGGTGGCAAATATTATCAGTAAGCGCATAAGATTTGAGGATGACGACACCCAAATTGAAGGTACGAGAGCTAAAATTTAGTACTGCATATTAGCAATAAGATGAGAGTCAAATTGTTGCCCCTTTTGCATCAATTTATATAATTTATTAGTTAATACATGAAAACTGATAGTATTTCAAATTTAAATTTTTTATTGCTAGGCTATCCAAGTGATAAGGAAAATATGGTGATGATTGTGTTTAAATTTTGTAACCTTTTCAATTGATTCTACTTTAATCATTGAATGCTGTTATTTTTATAGGAAATAACGTATCATATTAATGAAGGTGTAATAGGCGCATTCATTAGTAAATTGATTATAAATTTGCTGTATATTCCGAAAAAATTGATAAAAAGCAACGAAAAATGCTATCGCAGTAGTATGTGGGGCCCAACATGCACTCCAGTAGATCAAATTTTAAGCGATTATAATCTACCTGAGGTATATCTTCATTTTTGAAGAAATGCAATATTAGAAACTTTAAATTTCCTAAGCCCGCAATTAATATATACTTTTTTTCCATTTCGATGGACAGATGGAAGTTGGCGAATGGGTCTATTATGAAAGTGAGTGCATTTATTATTTCTTAAAATGTATAAGATAATTCTATCGTAAACAGAAAATCGTATAACGAAGCTATTTTATTGCAAGATCTGGGGGCATATTCATCCGGTTTAGCCACAGATTTTAATGGATTCAAATGCAAAAAAAAATATTATTTTATAAATGAAAAAGATTGGTATGATACATTTATTGCAATACCCTCTTGTATGTGAAACTGTTATTTTTGAAATTCACTCCTCAGCAGAAATGCAGTTGCTTAACCGATAATAATAACGCAATTTGCTCTAATTTCGATAGGGATCAATACAAGAAAGAATTATCTCCTTATTTCAAAAATTAACAAATTGCAGTATATGATCATCAGCTGAGCAGTACTAGTACAAAACCCATAGATTTAAGAGCACACGTATACATTATTGAATACCCTGTAAGATTTATAATTTTAAGCCTTAAATATTTCTGCAGTCGAGCTTTAGTCGACCAATTTTAGAAATTAAGATTAAAAATTAACAAATTGCAGTATATGATCATCCGCCGAGCAGTACTAATACAAAACCCATAGATTTAAAAGCACATGGATACATTATTGAATACTCTGTAAGATTTATGATTTAAAGCCTTAAATATTTCTGCAGTCGAGCTTTAGTCGACCAATTTTAGAAATTTGATAATTTCGTGTATAAGTAATCTCTTTTCTTCATACATACAGTTTTTAAATGTGTAACACGATCAGAAAATGTTTGTTGAATTCATGTTTAATATTTAAATTAACTGCTGATACTAAAACTATTACGTTATTCATCAAGGATAAAGTGAAGTTATGCTGAAGATCAGAGTTCATTTCTATTATGATCCTACTACTTTTTCGTTATTTCAAAGTATGATTAGTAATCATAACAGGACTTCAATGCACTTTAATTTGCTCCTAATAAAATTTGCATTATTCGCGTGAGTTTTAGAAAATTGCTCTGAACCACTGAAAGGTATTAGCCATTAAAATCCTAAGATAATGTTAAATGTGCACATACATTATAAGGTTTGCCATTGCTAGATAAAGTAGAAATTACTAACTTAATGGCGAATAAATATGCAGCATTAATACTCTAATGCTATTACTAAGCTCTACATAGCTATAGGGTTGGCTAAATATTTCATTTGAAAGCAATTGGCATTAGTACTACTACATTGCATTCATCTATTTACTACCCAAAATTTGTTATTCTAAGGTTTGTTTAATTTATATTGGCCAACTGACTAAATTACACTAAATAAAATTACGCAGCGTGTGATTGCTAGGTCTGCCGGGATAAATAGAGTTTCTGGATACTGTGCTTAACCACTAGTATTTATTTTGATGCTTCCTACTACAGTCTTGACCTATCAATATCTAAATTTATTTTTATATTCTGTTATCATAGATTTTTTGAAACAAAGTACAGTACTAAACCAAATAATATAGATTGAACACTCAATGGTGCTGTAGCAATAACTTTAAACAGTTTAACGTACTAGCTTAACGTCTGATCACTTTGCTGACAGAGATACCGTAGCCTATTCCATTCTTTTAATCCATAAAAACCAGAATAGGTTAACGCTCGAATTCGCTTTAACTTACTCGTTTAACGTCCTGTTACTTCGCTGATAGAGATGCTACAGTTTTATCCATTATTTCAATCCATAAAGAGAGAGTATGCTTATATCGCACAGTAATTAACTAGCTTAACGTATTGCCACTTGGCTGACAGAGATACTAAAGTCTTTTCCATGCATAAAAAGAGAGTAGGCTTAAAACTTAATACTACTCAGTAATCAGTTAGCTTAACGTTTTGCCACTTCCCTGGCAGAGATAGATACTATAGTCTTTTCCGTTATTTCAATCCATAAAGAGAGAGTATGCTTATGTTGCACAGTAATCAACTAGCTTAACGTCTTACCACTTCGCTGATAGAGATACTACAATTTTTTCCACTATTTCAATCCATGAAACGAGAGTAGACTTAAACTTAGTACTGCTCAGTCATAAACTAGCTTTAACGTACTAACTTAACGTCTTATTACTTCGCTGATAGAGATCCTACAGTCTTTTCCATCATTTCAATCCATAAAGAGAGTGCTGACTTATATTTAATAGTTAATATTTAATATTGCTCTGTAATCAACTAGCTTAACGTTTTGCCACTTCGCTGACAGAGATACTAAAGTCTTTTCCATGCATAAAAAGAGAGTAGGCTTAAAACTTATTACTACTCAGTAATCAGTTAGCTTAACGTTTTGCCACTTCCCTGGCAGAGATAGGTACTATAGTCTTTTCCGTTATTTCAATCCATAAAGAGAGAGTATGCTTATGTTGCACAGTAATCAACTAGCTTAACGTCTTGCCACATCGCTGACAGAGATGTTAACGTCCTTTCAATCACTAAAAAGAGAGTAAGCTTAAGCTTAACACTGTTCAGTAATCAGCTAGCTTAATGGCGTGCCACTTTACTGGCAGAGATAGATACTACAGACTTTTCCATTATTTTAATCCATCAAAAGAGTATAGGCTTACACTTAATATTGCACAGTACTCAACTAGCTTAACGTCTGCACTCGTCGCTGTCAGAAATACTACCGTTTTTTCCATCATTTCTGTGCATAAAACGGAAGTAACTTACGCTTAATATTGCACAGTAATCAACTAGCTTAGCGTCTTGCCATTTCGCTGTCAGAAATACTACCGTCTTTTCCATTATTTCCAAGCATAAAACGAGAGTAGGCTTAAGCTTAAGACTGCTTAGTAATCAACTAATTGAACGTCTTGCCATTTCGCTGGCAGAAATACTACCGTTTTTGCTATCCTTTGCATGCATAAAACGAGAGAAGGCTTAAGTTGAACACTGCTTAGTAATCAACTGGCTTAACGTCTTGCTACAAATCAATAAAGAGAGAGTAAGTTGAGGCAATTGGTTTTACAATAATTCTCAACTACTTGTTCTATTTCCTGTCTCCCTTGCTCATCCAGAGTTTAATTGCAGGAAATTTTCACCAAGGTCGTTAGTTCAATTCGCTCTTCTAGACATGAATATTCAACACCTCGTAAACTAGTGTATCATGTACTCCATTGAGCCAAATAATCTGTATGGCATTCGAGCAAAGTACAACACAGTAAAGAGCAAAGTTCAAGGTGCTCGTTGAGCATCAATTGCACTAGACTCTACGATATAGGCAAGCAATTAGCCATTTTTTTCCAGTCAAGCATTAGGAGTTTGCCTTATCCTGCTCATCATAGCCACTACAAGTACGATACTTGATGCAGCCATTTGTCATGCAAATTATCTTATTCTTCATTTCCAATGCAATTTGTGTTAGCTGATGTAATTGTTGATGAACGTATACTTATTCAGTATGATTAATTAATTCTTCATACTATGGTGTTGTTGTTAGCTTAAGGAATAGACTTTCCGATCGATCCTTCTGAATACATTTCAAGTTGGACTGGTAGCAGTCTTCATTTTCCTTCCGTTTTGATTTGTATTTTTTGGTGCAGAAATTGTAAGTATCTACTTGTTTCTTTCCTTGTACAAAGATATGATCTTGCTTGTAAGCAATCTTGAAAGGGATTTTACTAAGTGTACTATAACAACATCGATCTTGTAGCGTAGAAAAACCTACAGACTCAGCAAGATGGCGTGTCATCGTGCTGCGCCAATAGACATTATACAATCACAATCATTGCAAGAATTAATTCTGGAAAGAACAAACGCAGCGAAATTAAAAGTAAGTCAACTTCTCCAGCATGCACATTTCAATTTATCCTGATTTGCCACTAGAAATTCTATTCAAAGGATCATTTGCAAGTCGGTTTGTAGAATGTTCAACATTTCCACTTGGGTGATTTTACTTGAAAATGTTTCTGTTTTAATTTATATTATGGCGTTAATCAACACGTTGCAAAAAAAGAATGATGATGAACCATTTTATTTAGTGGATATTGGCGACGTTATATACAAGTACGTAACTGTAAGTAAGCGGAATGGGATGTTTTTTTACTGTCCTTACTTAAGATTGACGTTATGCCACGGTACTATGTCTTTCTTCACATCTTTAAAATGTTTAACTGGCTAAATCGAAGCAGCTACAATGTAAAAAGATGACCATAACTGACATTGCATTTCACTTACATTTCTTGTTCAACTCCGAAAAGTACTCTACCTTAGAACACTAAAGAGGTTTAGATACTTTTTACCAGACAAAATACAAATGGCCAAAATAATTTTAGAACAAACTCACAGTTACAGCTATTCTAGCCTCTGTACACCACGATTAGATTTGAGCAATCTTAAATAGCAAGTTCATGTTGTTACACTGTCTAGGCTTTTTATTTTAACTTATTGGTGCTCTATCTTTCATATCTATTATCGTACTTAGATTGAATGTTAAGTTGCTAACTTTACCTATAACTACAATGTTGTTATTGATCACTAGTATAATTCTTTTTCTTATTTTCTGATCATGACGCTATTCTTTTTCACATCTCACGACTGAAATTAGTGGACGTCCATGATGCCTGGTATCAGGCCTTATTTTGGTATGTTTCTTCTACTAGACTTATGACAGCTGTAGTACTTACCTTTCAGGTACGACTAGCAACTGAAGGTTTATTCGATAATTAATTTTTCCCTTCAAGCTTTGAAATGCCACCCGGATTTCCAGATTATAGCCACTTTATGTAGTTTAGGTGCTGGTTTGGACGTAGCAAGTGCTGTAAGTTCTGATGTACAATAGTGATGAACAGGCAGAACTTGAGTTATAAAAATATCATTTTGATATTAGGGAGAAATAGAAATAGCTAGAGCATTAGGTCTCCAAGATGAAGATGTAGTCTACTCCAATACTTGCAAGGGAATTTCTCATATAAGGTATGCTTGCCTAAAATTAGAGTCGTGATTACGTATCGTCTATTGCTAATCGCTGTGAATAGAATAAACTTTTATTTCTGAAAGTATCAATGCATAAGAACACTTCATGATCTGATATAAATAACATCCATCTTTATACGGGATGATTCAATGGAATTCAAAATTGCTGACGAATTTATTACCTCGTGTTAATTTTAATCTATTAGGGCAGCAGCTAAAGAAGGTCTGACGCAGATGTCCTTTGATAGCGAGGTAGAACTACAAAGAATTAAGCTTACATTTCCAAATGCGAAGTAAGTAATTGAATGTGAATCCTACGAGTGGATTAGATGCCACTCTTTTCCGATGAATTAATAAATGATTTGGCTTTTACATTATGCAGACTGCTAATACGTTTGCTTGTGGATGACTCACATTCCATCCTTAAGGTATAGTAGAGCAATAAGAGAGTTTAATGAGCTCTATTTTTACCCTATTTTTATGCATTTAATACGGTGCTATTAAAATAATAGACAGGTGCAAAAGCTGGAACTCCGTTCAGTAGAGTATCGCACCTGTTTAAGGTTGCTAAAGAATTAGGTTTAAATGTAGTCGGTACAAGGTAATCGAATGATTCACATAGCAATCACCTTAACATGTTCAACTTATAATCAGTAAAATTCGACTTTGATATATTGCTAGCAGTAAACACGGTATGCATGTATGTTCTCCTCTTTATTAGAATTTATGCTAGAAAGAGATGGTACTGCCATTAATCAGTACTTAATAGGCTTTCTTTTTGTTCTCTATTCAATATTATTTCAAATACATCACCCATTGTTAATACTGTGGACAATTTGAACTATTCCAATAAGTTTTCACATCGGTTCCGGTTGTCATGACCCTAGTGCTTTTACGAAGGCCATAGAAAAGTCTAAAAAGGCCTTTGATATCGCGGTTAGTCCACTAGTTGTAGTGAAGTAGAACCCTTTAGCCTAACTTAACTACTTAAAATTTAATTTGATTGTTACAACAGAAAGAGCAAGGCTTGGAACTCAAGGTGCTAGATATTGGAGGTGGATTTCCTGGACATGCAAACACATTATTCGAAAATGTCAGTCCTGATGAATTATTTCAGTAAATTCAATGCTGCTTTTAAACGTAGAGCTTTTGATTTTCAGATGTGCCATGCTGTCAATCAAGCTATAGACATTCATTTTCCAGCAGATAGTGGAGTGAAAATAATTGCTGAGCCAGGTAATAGTCTAGATGTTGATACTGATCTCATGAAATCTGCCACATGAAATGATATCTTACAAAGCGTCAGAGATTCTAAGATGAAATATCATTAAATGACCTAGTTTGCTCATAATTTGAACATAGGCAGGTTCTTTGCCCATACTTCTTCAACTTTGGTTGCCAATATTATCGGTAAACGACTTAGATATAGTGATGACGACGTTCAGATTGAAGGTACGGTATTAAGTGCAATGAAACAGCTTCTAAAATTCGATAAAATAACAAGAATAAGATGGGCACGCGTTACTAAATAGCCAAATAACTACACAGAGATACAAAACTGACATATACTCCAATTTTTAATATTCATTTTAGGGCACCCTAATGATACGGAAAATATGGTGATATTTTTTTTAGTTTTAATTACCACCATGCATTAAGTTAATTTTAACACTTCTTATTCATATGATATCTTTTCAGGAAATGCTATATCACATCAATGATGGCTTAATCGGCTCTTTTCTTGGAACAATATTAGCACGTCAAAAATATCTTCCACAGCAATTGATACCTACTAAAGGAAAATCTTACCGCAGTAGTTTATGGGGACCATCATGTGGAGCAATGGATTGCCTTTTAAGTGACTGTAATCTCCCAGAGGTATGATATATATTAATTTGTGGTTATAATGATAGCCTTTAAAGTTTACGGGCATCTTACTTGAAGTCACATATTTAATCGAGCAGATGGAAGCCGGCGAATGGGTCTACTATGAAGGTACCGTATAAATAACTTTGATCTTAAAATACCATTGCGATAATAATTAAAGAGTAAGAGAATTATTTTATTAATAGATATGGGAGCGTATACATCGTGTTTAACCACTAATTTCAATGGATTCAAGAACACAACTAGATACTATTACATAAATGAAAAATATTGGTACGACTTGCCATTTTCATCAATGTTGTAGCTTATCTTATTTACAAATTAACTTATCAGTTTATGATTAATGAATATCTAACAGATATTTTTTTATTCCAATTGCGATAGGAATCAATACAGGAAAGAATTATCTCCGTATTTTAGTATTGAATAATGAGATAAATAATCAACTGCTGGTTTGTTGTAGTGTGGGGTTCGATGTTTAAAATAACGATACTTCTTTTATATGATGTTAGTTTATATGGCAGGATAATAATAATTCAGATTTGCTTTTCCATTCTATAAAATGTTCTTTCAAAATTCGGTCATAGGATCTTAAACTTATTATTTAATCATATCAAAATAAAAAATTCTACTGTTGGTCATAAGATCATGATGTGAGCAAGTATGATTGCTGCACTTTGCTTCACTCTATCTGCAAATTAGCTTTACGGCTACGGTGCTCTGACAGATTATGTTCAAATACGACTTCAGATTACCGTGAAACAAGACAATATTAATCCTAATTAAAGTCGCTCACAACTGCTATTCTGATTCAAGTGCCAACTAACTTGCTTACTTACCAATTAACTCCTTAATAACTAGGTGAAAATTTTCTGATAATACCAATTTAAGCATTGATCAATATGGCGTTGAGCTACATAATTTTACGGCTGCATGATTCGTTCGTAGACTGGGTGATATGTAACAAGAACTGATGCATCCAATTATAATTATTTTACTTTGTTGACTAATATGAAACTGTTACAACGACTATTATATATACGTATTAACCATGCCGCAATTTTACACACTAATTGTTATACTTTACGGAGTAGAAAGGTTACAATGATTGCAAATTTCAGGAAAAAAGTTCGAAATTAGTATTATTGAATATCGTACTAAATGTAGCTTATTCAATAAGCAACGCTATGCAGACACAGATCCTTTAAGAATTTCTCTACCTCTTTCAGGCACAGCTTTGCAAGTTGCAATGGTGCTCTTACAGTTTTATGTGACAACTTTATTGCCATTCGTCACGGACTACTTCCTGACAAGTACAATTCTAACGTAAAGCATTTACATTAAGTTGCTTCTACAGATTCTACCCTAACCTGTCGAAAGATCTAGTAAGAATAAAGTGCTGATACTATAACGCCTAAGAACTACACTTCTAAAAGGCTCGCAACCAATAGACACACTGTACTATAATCTACAAAATAGCTTTATACTATAATACTGAAATACTCTCTGCAACAATACCATCTAAACTCTATAATTTAGGCAACGTAGTGCCGCAATACCGTTTTAAAGTGACTTTCTAAAGTCTAGACACATTTAATAAGACACCAGGAATTAAGATTAAGACATTACTAGCAAAGGCTAGCTCAGATTACTCGGTGAGCATTTTAATAAATTTTCATGCCTTTGCAAGGAAAATGCGGCCAAGGTTCTGACTATAATGAGTGCACTCGAAAAACTTGCATTATGCAAATGTTAAATGAAGAAAAATCTCCTACTTATATATTTTTATTGAACATAATTGTTTTACGTGCGAAAGATGCACGTAAGAACTGAACCAATTTAATTAGATGGCAGTGTGAGATTCTTACTGCCAGAGCAAACTAAACTATTAATCTCGATAAATCTACCGTCATGACGTACAATGGAATAGAAATAACGCAAACATACGAGTATATTAATTAAAAATGCGTTTTGCTACATATTTAGAATATAGCTCCTACGTATTAGGGCAATGGTTTTACAAATTGCAGGTTACTTTATCTCTGTCTTAAATGAACTAGCTTTCAATGCTTGTAGCAAATCTTTGTCGAAACCTTGATAAATTTCAGGTACGTTGCTTTGAATTCAGGTTTAACCAAAAGTACAGCTAGTGAATAATATCAGTAAAATTGATATATGATATGATACACGAAACAGTATATGGCATTTTAATTTCACCATTAATCTATCAATTTGCTAATTTCTGGTATTATACTGTAAGATCAGTGAAAGTGATCACGGTTTTATATACATGATAATTAATTCTATTGCAAAAGGATGCTTAAAAGTTCAATCGTACTTGAAATTAATCTATTGAATCTAATTTATTGCAGTAGAAGTTAGTATAAAGTAAATCTAGTTAACGTTCGTAAAAATTTTAATTCATTTCAACTGGTGGTCATGCAATAAAATAAAGTGTTAAAAAAATTCATTCATTCTTTTTAAAGATAGTAATGTGTGATGATGGTATATTTAAGCCAGAGAGATTAAACTTAAAATATTTTCATTTAAATCCAATTAGATTTATTTTAAATTAAATTTATGCACCATATGGCACAATATAGTGCTTTTTAATACTGTCTGCTTCAATCAGTTACAACTAGTCTGCTACCAGCTAATTCTCCTTTATTACCTAATTGATTCAATAAAATTTCAATAACGTCAACATTTAGAGGATATATGTCCTGTAAGGACTAAAAATTGCGGCTTAAAGTCTACGATAGCCTGTATGTTAATTTAGTTAGCTGTTGTAGTGCAGCCCCTAATAAGTTTAAGAATAAGATGATTGCAATTAGATAGTCTAGAGATAGTCCTTATTAGTAGTTAGATGAACCTAACTTATGCATCAAAGGGAAGTTTATAAGGAACTGTAGTTCTTGCTTCAATTTTAAGAAGACACTTTATCACAGCAGTTTATCATATATTATCCCTATAGTTCTTAATGCTATTTCTAGACCGATTTGACCTTGTTATCGTTGCCTTCTTGTGACAGATTTTGTTCATTAGAGATTACTGTAGGCACTATAACTGTTGTCGTCGCAAATAAATAAGAAGGTAAATAAGCATCAATTATCTTCGAATCGAGGTAGTTATCTTTACTGTACAGTAGGTATCTGTACTTCTCTCGAATTAAAACAACTTTGTACTTTTACAGATTCAGGCGCCTAACGAGATTAACCGAAAACCTCTTTATACTTCTGAATGATCTTCTCGTTATATGATGTTGTAGCCCTGAATTATTACTGAATCTACTCACTGTAAATACTTGTATGCTAGGTAACAGAAAGACAAATTTAACTATGGGCTGCTATTATGCAGGACCATGGTACTACTCAACGAAAATTTTATCATGATCTAAATACCTTGATTGGCCTCCTTTCACCTATTATTTTTGATTGTGCTATCCAAACTATTGCTCATAATTAATAAATGTTCATACAGGAACATAATACTGCTCGAAGCATATGTTGGCTTTGATCTAAAAGCCTTGATTAGATTCTTTTCACTTACTGTCATTGATCATGCAATCTAAACATTCTGGTAATAATTGGTATTCATATATCATACATTGACAGAAATACAAATGGAAATGTAAGCTTTATGTTTTCTATAACCGGCTAAAATGTATACATTTTGTTCCCTATGATTACATAAACACAGAAAAATGTAATCATATTAACTTGTTTTCTTAATTTTAAGCTAAATTAATTGGTAATAGAAATGTTAGCTCTTAGCGAGCAGTTCTTTGCTTCCACGACTGGATTATTTTAATTACATTAACGGAGGTATGTTCAATTTAAGTGTGGTAAAGATTTTGCTCTCGAATTTTTCAGTCTATAGACTTGTTTTAAAATCTCAGTTGGTGGTAAGATTGAAAGTAATTTGCTGTAATTCACGATAGGTATACAATTTTTACTAAATTCTATACCTAAAAATAGGCTTACTAACGCAACAGTTCTTGACAAGAATATTCAGATGGTTTGTTAAATTAAGTCTATATCCAAGAATGGCTTCCCATCATGTTGTACCATTAGAAGTCACCGAGTCGCAGTCTTTACAAGAAATCATTACTCAAAAAGCGAATGCAGTAAACTTAAATGTAAGTTTGATTTTTTATTGGATATTATTGGCCAAATGTCCGAATCTATCATTACTTCCTTGATTGCTGCATTATTTTACTTTGCTCGCTGATTCAAGCCATAAGCTACTATTGCTTAAATATGGAAATTTATATATAATTTTTTTTGTTTTACCGAATGTCAAAGAATGAAGATGAAGCATTTTATTTGGTGAATATTGGTGATATTATATACAAGTTTAACACTGTAAGCAAGCTGTAGCTAATATAAAAGACTTAATAAATAATATCGTTACCTAGAAAATATCAGACCTATATCAAATTTACCACTTTCTCGATTTATAGATGCAATGAATAGGTTTTATAACTCCTTAGGCTCGCTATCCATTAACTTGAAATTTGAGATTAAAATTGAGCAAACCTCTAGTCTCACACAACTTGTGTTACTGTTATTACTAAAATTAACTAAAATTACTACTGTAGATTACCATGCAATCAATCATCGTTGAATTAACGATAGAATATGTAGCAATGAAAATAAACCAACGTAAATTGACGAAGAAGTGTTCTCGTTTAATCGTAAAACTATCTTAAAATTATCGACAGTAGTAAGTTTGATAAGTTTACCTAACTTTCCTATGTAAAAGAAATATTTACTATCTCTATCTCCTTAAGACACCAGTCTTATAACCCCTTATTTCTAGTCTCTGTTAATCTGCCTAAATGCTATTTGAATATCATTTTGGTAGCGATAGAATTTTAAAATAATATGATATTCTGATATTTCTTTTTGCTTATAATAAAATTAGTGGTTGTCCGCACTACCTCGTGTAAAGCCCTTTTACGGTAATTTCATGCTAGCGTTTGTTACAGTAGATGTAGAGTCGAGTTTAAATAAAAAGAAGCTTTCTAATATTTTATGTAATTTCGTCCTTAAGCTATACAATGCAATCCAGACTTTCATCTAGTAGCAGCTTTATGTAGTCTAGGTGCCAGTTTCAGCGTCACAAGTGCTGTAAGTGATAGAAGTCTAAGAGAAGTGTTTAAATCCTTTAGCGGCATTAAATCAAATTTAATGTTATTGAGATAGGCTGATATACGGTTAACGACTGCGTTGGATGTCAAAAATGACAATATCATCTATTCAAATCCGTGCAAAGGATTGTCTCATTTAAAGTAAGTGGGACAGAGTATTCTCGATCATTTTAATGATGAAATACCAAGCTAATTCCTTCATAAACTGTTAAGATTGTAACGATGTTTTATCTAATATTTAGTTCAAACTATAGAGTTCAGGTATTAAAAGTTAAAGATTTTTCTATGCAAAATCTGATGACGAATATTCACCATGACTTATTGAGAAGCCAGTTTTGTTGCAGCGTTTTTGATTTTGGATACTTCATATTTAGGGTGGCTCTGAAAAAAGGAATAACTCTGATGACTTTCGATAGCGAAGGAGAACTACAGCGAATAAAGCGTATGGTTCCACATGCAAAGTAAATAGTAGGGTTTAATTTTGAAATGATACTCATATTGGATAGATCGACAATTTTTTGAAATTATTGACTGGAATAGATTGCTGTTACGACTGAAAGTTGATGATTCTAAAGCGGCTTTTCCGGTATGTACGGTCAAAAAAATTTGAAATAAACTTTCATTTTTCTCTGCTTAGATTTCATGATACAAACTAATCTACGTCCACTTTAGTTAGGGGCGAAGTATGGAGTACCATTCTCTAGAGTGTTGCACTTATTTAAAGTTGCTAGAAAATTAAGTTTAAATGTAATAGGAATAAGGTAAGAAAACTAGTAATTAACCATAATTTATTACTTGAAGTTGGACCGACGATGATTAGTTTGTTCTTATTTAAAATAATAAAAAAATATACTTGACAAATATGGTAAATAAATTTAAAATACAGGAATAAGTCCTTGTGTTAAAAGATAATTATGCTGATTTAGTTTCCATGTTGGTTCTGGCTGTGATGACCCCGATTCTTTTACTAAAGCTATTGAAAAGTCCAAAAAAGCGTTCAATCTAGCAGTTAGCTTCCGAGTTGCTTTTTAAGATTATATATAGTAAGACTGAATTAAAATAACGACTTTTTAATGCGAGTCGCAATATTTAATTACTTTAACAGAAAGAGATTGGCTTGGATCTCACATTACTAGATATCGGTGGCGGATATCCGGGGATTGAAGATACGTTATTTGAAAATGTAAAAAGAGATTTACTTATTCCACGATTAATTATACTTATTTGTATGTCGGATTTGATGGCCAAAGCACTTTATTTTCAGGTTTGTGGAGCCATTACTGAAGCACTTGACAAATATTTTCCTACAGAATGTGGAGTTGAGATAATAGCAGAGCCAGGTAGAACCTTTTTGACTAAGGATAAATGTTACATAAAATTTGGCCGTCCTTATCACGGCAATGGATTAAAAGTCTAGATGAATCTTAGTCTATGATCGATGCTAAAGGTTTAACGTTATTACTTGTATTTTGGTGGCTAGGAAAATATTTTACTACCTCTTCAATGATTTTAGTCACGAATGTCATTGGTAAACGTCTGAGATACGATGATAATGTGAAAACTGAACGTATGTAATCTATTAATAGAAAGACCATTTTTTCTGATACTATGCTTTCGATAGAGTCATTATGATCATTTAATATTGATGTAAAACTTGAACTCTAATAATACCAGAAAAAATTAAAAAATTGCTTTTCATCGTAATTGATAATTTCAGAGAATCAATCCCATAAGGAAAGCATGGTTAGGGCATATTATTTGCATTACATTTTCGAAAATACTGGTTTCATTCTTTTTGTTTGCATGATTACTTTTATAGGAATGCATGTATCATATTAATGATGGCTTGCATGGATCTTTCCTTCGAAGATTATTCACAAAAGAGCCATTCATACCTAATGTACTGAAATCGAAAAGTGGTCAATTCCATCGTAGCAGCATATGGGGGCCTACATGTAATGGACTGGATTGTATTGCAAGTGGCCAAACTATTCCAGAGGTATACCATAGTATAGATTTTACATTTTAATGCAGAATGCTAAGGTTTACTTACAATAAATATGAATGAACGCGGTAATACTTTATTTGATTAGATGGAAGCTGGTGATTGGACTTACTTTGAAAGTGAGTATATAGGTGATCTCGAAAGTACTTGAATTTATACATTTGATGAAACTGTTCTTGTTTATAAGATCTAGGAGCATATGCATCAGCTGCGTCCTCCAATTTTAACGGATTTGCAAGTAAAGAAAGGCATTATTACATAAGCAAAGAACATTGGTGAGCCAAATTTGTTCTTGGACTATTTGCGCTAGTAACTGTATGATTCAATTCGCTCCTACTTTTAAAGCTAGATTAATTTTACCAATCAATAATTTATTCCAATTTAATAGGAGTATGACTAATAAAGAAGTCAAGCAAGAGTTATCTCGATATTTTGATATTCATTTTAATACACAATAGCTAAGAAGATAATCGTACTTGATAAGAATTGACACCATTACGTAAAATACTGATTGTTGAGTGAATAAGTTAGTCTGCGTATTTTTGCTAAAGAGACGTTCAAGTATTCATAGTTAGTTTATGTTTTACCGAACGTTAATTAAAATATTTAGGATGATTATCGCAAATACTTTAGCCGATATTTTTAACTAAAATATTCTGTTATCATATACAAGATTGCTATAATATGATACTGCTCGTTGCACAATGCTGCTGAACTCTAAATTATAACTGTTAAGACTTATAATCACTAGAGGTAAAAATATTATTATTGAAAAAGTTAAATTTCTTCAGTTAACGCCTAAAGCAGAAATTATCAAGAAATACACTTTTAGCTTGATAAAAAATCTTACGTATGGTGGCCACAATCATTTTACATGTTAGCAACAAAATCAATAACCATCTTTGGATATTGATGTTTGGAATAAGATTATGATCTTTTACTGTTGTTGTTTACAAATTAGACGGTTCCTGTAGAAACGGGAACATTTGAGTTGAGTGGTGTGGTAAAAAGTTGTAGATGTATCTTTGCTAATAAAAGTTTATCTTTACAGTATTTTGCTGTGTGTGTTTAACGTTAAGTAAAAGGGCTTTTAAGTCAGTAGCTAATTATAGACCTTTACTGTACGTCACCTTGTCGCAGAAGTGAAATTGTGACACAAAATTACTGACAATAGCAATGCAAAAGAGTATAGAACTTATCTATTTGTGATGCCAGGATGTTATGAAATGGAGGATTAGTTTCGGAAATATTTCAAATCCATGTCCCACCTTGAAAAAGATTTATACGGTAAGGAGATAATGATATAGTTCAAATTTTCTTAACCGAGTTGAAATCGTGAAGACAGCGTTCATGCATCCATAAATGTTGAATTTTAGCTACTATTATACTGTGTTTTATTTCTAATCGAATTTATCACGAAAATACTATATTTAATATGCAATTGCGATAGGAAAGTAGAAAATTCGAAAAGCTTTTTATAGTTCACACGTATTTGGATTTACTACAGAAGCTAATATAAAATATAAAATAAAAGCACAGCACGCGAAGTATAACGAACGGGGATCGTCGAGTTCTTTACAATAGTACATATTCCAAAAATATGTAGTACAATATGTCAGTTACGAGTTAAAATTTGTAGCGAGAAAACTTGAACCAGATGAAAACCCAGAGTCTTCTGTTAGGTCTGTCTGCCCAACTTAGTCTACAAGACAACTCTAAATACTAACAATATCATCATCGACAGAAAGTTACGATAAACTACACGACTAAATGAGAAAAAAGAGCAAAATAATCTATATTCCGAAAAGAGAGAAATTTTTGATGAGGTACTACACTTTTTTAGTATTACCATTATAGTGTTACCATCATAGTGTTGTATATATACAAATGATAAAGAATTATTTCGTTCTAAATTGCTAATTACCGCTAAATCTAAAAATGCACATGGCGAAATGAAATAAATGCGCATCTCATCTTCAAATTTTCAAGAAAATACCTAACTTGTATCTAAAAGAAACTAGTCTACTATTTTTATTTATGTAGTGAATTAATTAATTTGCCTCAGCTAAAAAGATGATTAAATTACAAAGATGACTAAGGCCCTAGCGAGCTTAAAGTGGTAGATAAATGGCTTCGAAAGAAGCCAGAATGCTATGAAAGAAGAGGCGAGATATATAGAATCCTTATCAATTACATATCTTTAGAGATGAAAGTGGTTTCTTGAGGATAGGAAAAACTATCTGAAAATAGGGATATAAAGTCCGATGAATAATCATTAAAGCTAGAATCAAAAAGTTAAACAGAAAACAAAAGATAATAATGTAGTCTACTTAGTGTACACATGTTTTGTAAGATATGACAATAATCTGCGTTATAAAGTTAGATCCATGGTGCAATAGAAATATACAAGACGATTTCTAGCCCAGACACCAGGTAGTAAGAGTATTTTGTGTAGCAAATTTAATATTTTTTTCAAGCAGTGACACATCGTAAGGTTAACCGTCTGCATCAACTAGATTTCGGGTATATCTCCCAGCCTAAAGTGTAGATCAATTACAATATAGTAGTAATTAGGTCGCAAAACACCTTTGTTCCATGTCAGTAATGGAGATTGTGATAACAGCAGTCTCGATATGCTATTTTTTATCGCCTTTACAGCGTCGTACAGGAATTGAATTATTAAGTCTTTAAACTGCATTCGTTTTTACTATTAAGTTTCAAAATTGTTCGATATGACTTCGTACCGGGTCTGCTTGCTCATGAAAATTGAGTAGATGGTCAGCAAAGCAGTAAGTAGTTGATTGACGTACCATATTACCGTCTAATTTTTCATAAATTACTCTACATCTGCATTTCGGGCAATTATTCATTTCACGCTAATTTAGCATGCAAGTTACGAATTAGAAAAATATCAGTAAAGCAAGAATACAAGTACAATTTCTTACTCTTTCATTCAAAGTGCCGCATCAATCCTAAACTTCGCGTTATATACGGTTTGATGCTCTCACAGATTGCAATCCTAATACGCAGCAGGATCACGCAAGAGCATTACTGTCAGGTCTAAGATCTCGTTTCTAAAAGACTTCTAATTAGAATTTATTTTGTGCAGTTGTCTTTAAAGGACTTCATTCAGTGATTTTTCTATTCGATATTCTTCTCAAAAATCAGCTGAATTATGATAATGAATCTAATCTTAAATCAGATATAATTAACAATGGCCCAAAATGTATCTAGTGTAAAACACTATATCGTATTCTTACTCGACATTTGTAGATATTTTCAATGCTTCTATTTATATGAACCTTTGGTAAGTTGGTTTTACGATACCGATAGTTACTTAGTTATCTGCAAGCCTTATATAACTAACTCAAAGACGTCTAGAAGACTTATATCAGATGTTAATTTATATTTTTGTAATTGCTATTTCATCCCTGTTCTAACACAGTCTCTCCAGGAATTATTTCCGTACTTAACTATACTAAAGAAACTTTTGTAATATTTTATGTCGAAAAGCTTTACTACAGGTAAAAATTTTCTGTTGTTATAATCCTATGTACGTGTATATGAAAATAGTTATGTCCATACGTTCGAGCAGACGTATAATTTTCGGTAAATATGGGAGCGATATACTAGATTATATAAATGAAATTTTTTATCTCAGTCTATATACTGTAAATAGCTTTTCTATAATAATCTATATCAGGGACGCCTATAGTTAAAGTTTTACCGCAAGAAGCCAAAAAGTTATCACAGTGTCAAAATTAGCATGAAGTCGTATGCGCGTGCAGATATATATATATACATTTTAGTATATCCGGAGCGATATACTGGTTTATTTAAAGAAAACTTTAATATAGTAATCTACGTAAACCCAGCGATCAAAACGAAGATAAGATGGCAAAGTATCATCATCACGACAGGCTAAGATAACGATTGCGATTATTTTCTATGCTTTTGTATCTTAAAGTAACCTTGTTTTCACACAAAATGACCATATAGGACTTTATCTTTAGTCCTTCATAATATATGTATTTGGAAGCGATCGTTTCAAGAGAAAATTAATTTGGAGTTTTCTTCATGGACGAGTATAATTAATTCTACCACAAGCAATTGTTTATCAATTCATTAAAAATACAAACACAAAAATTTATGCTTTAACTTGCTGTTAACATTCATAGCTTATAATACGTAAGAGTACGCCCTAAAGTCGATAATAAACAATAACAGCTTGAATATACCGTTATTCCGGTTGATTATCGTTATTTAGGTTTTTTTTGTGTAATCATATCGCTATTGAAATCTATATTATTTAGGCTTAAATATGCGCATGGTCATCGAATGATTAACGTAATTTTTGCAGTTGTAATTGTTCTTATTTAGACAATTGCACTACAAGAGGCTTATTTCATAAATCAGAAGTAGTTTACGTCTATACTAAACAAAATGGCAGTCGTCAACCAGGCTTTGGTTGTCTTGTTGGTCTGTATCTTTCTTACTCATTGCTTGGCATCTGAAATATCCATCTATCAAAAATCTGATATCAAGAAAGATTGTCCAAAGAACTGCTTGTGTAGAAGCTCTGAAATTATCTGCACTCGACTAGAAGAGAAATTTGCTGTTATCCCGAATGATGTACATCGAATGTAAGTTAACTTAGTCTCTAGCATTCTTGGAAGGTAAGGTAAAGTAAATTAAGACTGTTTTGATGTTCTAGCTTATTCTTAAATTCTTAAGTACTAGTTCAACATACAGTTCTAATTCGCGTTTGGTATGGACTTGTAATTTTTGCTTTACAATTAGACACTATTTACCGTGTTCCTTATTATATATTGATTATTTTAGATTGTCTGGTTTAATATTGATTAAGCTCATCTAATGCTCTTTCTACTGCCTGAAATCATTTACTAGTTTTTAGACGATGATTATGGGGTCTGAATTTGATTCCATCGCATCTTTTCCGACATACGATGTTCAAAAAGCTATTGATTTCTTCCTTATATTTCAAACGTTACAGCTAGGATAGTGATAATCGTTCTTGAGATAATTTACAATAGTTTACAGAAGCTTACACATCCCTCTATAGTAGTTACCAATATTTCAATAGTAAAAATCACAGCTTAAGACAAAGATGAGATTTCTAAGAATCTCTTGTTTCAAAAGCTTAAAATAGCAGCTGACTCAACTGATTCCAAATTATTGGGTTTTCGTTCACAATTATGAACATAAAAGCTTCCATATGACATAGTAGTTTGGAAGCACTTAGCTTACTAAAGAACTAGATTTCATTAAGTTAAGTCTTCTCAAGTAGTCTTTATAAATTAGAAGAAATGATTGAATTTTATGTTCATTGAAGGAAGCTACAAGGATGACCAAATCTATTAAATGCTAGATATTTTTAAAGTATTTACAAACTTCACTAACATTAAATTGTTGATTAAAGCTGTTTAAACAAGTGTGAATGCGTAAATTCACGCATTCGTATTTGCACACCGAGCAGTATTTACGATATTAACGTACTGCAACAAAACCTGTTTATTACTGCTATGATCACGATGGTGTTGCTCTTTATTTAATTGTTTACTGTAAAAAAAATTATTCTATAGAGAATTTTAATAAGCTTTTGCTGACGTCTAAAAGCAGACTATGATACGATAATTCAAACTTGCTAAAAATTTTTAAATTGTAACTGCGGTTATTTGGTTTATTTATGGGCCACATCTCAGAGTTAATTTAGGCTGCATAGGTCCTACTTATCGCTTTCAAGTTACATTAAGAATTAAAGATATGCTTAGAAGATTAGTGCCGATTATGCAATCAAGATTATTAATTGAGAACTATCATCCCACTATAAACAATTTAAAATTGTAAATACTTTACTTTCTTTCCAAATTCCAATTTGATTAGGTTTTTATATACCAATAAGTGCGATAATTCTCATGAAGATATTAGAGTTCTCCTTTAAATAACGCATCTAATTTGTAATTAGTTTGTGACAATAATTATGAAATCAAGGGTACTAAGGCGTCAAGGTCTGTTTGATAGAATAGGCAATCTACAAAGTATAGTACGATATAATAAGACATTATGCAAAATTTTAGACGCTATGGCGTTAAATTTAAACATTCCATAAATAAATTTATGATGTCTCATAAAATACTTTTTGAAATAACGACAACGATTCACACCGAGCTTAATTTTTTTTTCCAAAATTGATACTCAGGATTAGTTTCAAGATTTTAACTGTACTACGTTCAAATCTGTCATTTTAGAATTTTAGAGCAAGAGTTGGAATGTAGCAACCAGAACATAAAGCAGCTGGCCAAATTATCTAATCAAAGACATATTCAACTTATCGGATATTGTATTCAAAACGATCTGAGAAATAAAATACCTTTAAATAAAGTACTAACAGTATCAAACAGAGATCGACGAGGTACAATAAATAGGACTTTTGGATAGTATGTAAACAATAATTTTTCACACTCTCATATTACAAGTCAGTGTCTTCTTTGCAAAGATTCATATATTAAAGAGATCGAATGTTATAGATCATATAAGAAGGAATTCGATTCAATATTTTATAATTATATGTAACTGTACTGACGGAAAATTATCAATTCCATTACTTGATCTTAGCTCTTCAAACTCGTAGCACCAGTAAAACAGGTATCGGAAAAGATTAAACCTTAGCTTTACACGGTTGTTGACACCGGATTAATATTGAAACCTTTTAAAAGTTTCTTTCACTAGTTGATTTTAAAATTTAGCCTAATTGCATGCATAATTCTGCTATTGCAAACTTACAGTTGTTGGTGATTCGTTTATTGGCTGCTATTTCACTGATGGATTTTGTTCTTGGACACAAAGTGGTAATAGACCGTTTCAAAGGCAAATTACAAGTGTTGGCAACTTTCCATTATATGGTATAATCAGTTTAATTATTTCAGCTTATTATTTCGCTAAACTTTTATTATACTGGAATTTTATATCAATTTTTGTATTATGCAGCTGGTCCATATATATATTTTTTTAAAAGCTCATCAGATGGTTTAAGAACGTATGAGGCTATTCTGACCACTCCATCGCTAATATTGAAAAAAAATGCCAATTTTTCATATGTAAGTTCCAGCAATCTTAGATCTAACTATAAAAAAATATTCTAGAGCATTGAATCTTATCGCATAATAATTTTTATACTACGTAAATATTCATCTACTCGTACAAGAATACTATCAAATTTAGCTTATGTTCTGTAATTTATAATAACGAATGTTTAATAAAGTTAATTTAGCTATCATTTTTGACGTAGATAGAATGATATTATTTTGTTAAAATAAAAATTGGGAAATAAGTTTGCCATAGCGTTTTCATAGTAGAATAAGACTCAAACTATTAGTACAGTATCTGTCGAGCTAAAAATATATTGATTAATGTATTTTGCTTAATGAAGTAGATTAATTTATACAAGAGATAATCTTACTGGGAAATGATACTACTGAACTATAGAATCCAACATCAGTAGAAGGAATATGACTAAAGATCAACCGAAATTTTAACTTCGTGTTCTGCTGTACTTAGCTATTACAAAATCTACGTGTACATGATTTTCTTAAAATAGGAAGTGTGTTTTTGCCCTTTATTAGCATGTATGTAATTTCTTTAGTAGTCTTTATTTCAATTCTCAAATAGGTCAACTTCGATTTATTTTATATGCGCAACTTGTAATGGAAAATATCATATATTACTTGATTAATAGTACTATCATAGTTATTATAGCTATCAGCTGAATGTTTCATACTTTCCTATAATTTATAAATCTCTGGCTGTGAAAAGTCTTCATTTATTTTACATTTAAACATTTGCGAATGCTGACTGTTTTACTTTAATAGGTGACATACACAGCAATAGCTCGGACCAATTTCTTGAACTCCTTTTCATTTAGCTATGCGAAAGGGAATAGCTATTTCGTGTTGAGGACACCTTCACTAATGCTTGATGGATGGTGGCATGGTTATCGATCCTCTGATTTCTATGAAACATCTGCATTTCGAGTAAGTGCATTACAGATATGTAATATGAGTGTTAATTTATCAATTACATACGTTACATTTAAATCTAACTGTAGTATTTTGATGTATCAAAAATGGTATTTTAAAATTTTGGGCCTGGTAAGTATTCTGTAAATTTTAGAGCAATACAAGTAGAGCTGTTCTCAATCATTTAGTATTGGATAACTAGGTTTAATTACCAATTTGATACATATTTTCTGATGTTAGACTTTTAGTAATGTCTTCATTTGCGTAGCAGTATGTAATTTAGCAATATGCTACGTGGAGTCTGGTTAAAAGCGATGTTTAGAAACTTTAACGAAATGCCATCTACTACCTGACCTTACGTATTTTTATTCATTAACTTAGTACACATTAAAAATTTATTGAATACAAGTACAATTATTCAATCTTACAGCTGAGAATATATGCAGAAACAAGATGGCAGTCGCATTCTAACGGAAATTTTGGACTGGATAACATATTAATCCACAACGTTGAATTAGCTGGAAGTACGTAGCAAAAATGTCAATAATCAGGTTTTACTGGCTAAGTATTTAACCTTATCGGTGAGGTAATTGAAATTGCAGTAATCCCGCTTCTTATAAGATGATGATCAGTAAACATTTTTTATAAATTTTAGATTCGACTTTCGCTACGGTCGGTCCCATCGTTGCGGTATTAAGCGCTGTCTTCGTTGTAATAGTAATCATTTACAAGCGTCAGATATGGCGTCGATTGAGGAATACTTCACAAGTTCAACAGCAAAATAATAATGTTGCTCTAAAGAATGTCGACAATCATAATTATCCGCTTACAAATTCAACATTTAATATGGGTTCGCAAGCGACGCATGGTCAGAATTCAATTTCTATGCCAAATCCATCTTTACCGTCTCAAATTCCGAGTGGTACCTCAACGGAAGTAGTAAGTTCACAATTTAAAGAGAAAAATAGCTGTGATTATTCAACAAATGTCGATAATTACACTTTTCCACTAACAAACCCTACATTTAATACTGCTTCGCAGGCTACCTACAGCCAGAATTTAATTCCTATGCCAAATCCATCTTTATCGTCTCAAACTCTAAGTACTTTTTCAACTGGGCCTATAACTTCACGATTTGATGACAAAAATGACAACTTTACTTCAATGAAAGTCGATAATCATAATTATCTATCTACAAGCTCAGCATTTAATGCGGATTCGCAAGCTACTTATAATCAAAATTCAATTCCTATGCCAAGTCCGTCTTTCACGAGCCCAGCTCTGAGCGGTACCTTAGAGGGAGGAGTAACTTCACAAGCTGGTATATTCGTATTAAAATAATTACAGTTATCTTGTTAATACATAAAATTTTATAAGAGAACTAACTCACATTTACAAAAGCAGAACGTTATTAATGTAAATTACTTAAATGTGTACCGAATCAAACATTTCATAAAATTCGGTAATCCAACTCATACGCCGTATAGTTGTCAGCCAGTTTTAAGTCTGCTGCACCATTTCACTTTAATTTAAATAGAAAATCGCTTGTACGGGCATTTCAATCTAATAATACAGTATCTTTATCAATTTTTGCGTATATTTTAGGTCATTCAGATATCCCACCAGATTATGCAAAAGTGGTTTCAACATCTTAAAGGCCAACAAATTCTAAATATACCAAGTGCACCATAAATTTTAATAATAAGATTTCATTTCTGTACGGAAAGACAATGAATAATGACACGGGTATTTTAAAAAAATTTTATATAAGTCATCAGTGAGGTGTAACAGTTCCTGAACTTAAAGACTAGTATGCTGATAAGACATGATTGACTCTCCATATAAAAGTTTTATTATTATGTTGTATTAGTTTAAGTTTTTCAATAGTTGCTTCGGCAAATGTCTAGATCATTAGAGCATTAAATCCTACTGTTGTGGACTACCATACTTCCTTAAAAATTAACTAAACTAGCATAAAACTTCTACTTTCGGTTGCTCTCACAGATTATAACGCTAATATGTAGTAGCATCTTGTAAAAGTATCTTACTACTATGATACCCAGGTCATTTTTTCTGTAAGGCTTGAAATTGAATATTTAATTTGCAAAATAGTCTTTGAAGACTTCATTCTGTGATCTTACTATCGGATATTCTTCCTAAATCAACTGCTTATGCTAATAAAATGTAATTATAAATTACGAATAGTTAACAATGAATGATCCAAGATATTTCTTGAAAATTCTGCATCAATTCTTTCTCGATATTTGAAAGTCTTTACAGCGTTAGTATTGATGTAAATGTTATGATTTTGTATTTGATATACTGTATCACCGAAATTACGATTGTTATTGTCGGTTAGTTTGCAGCTAATCATCCAAAGTAGCAGAGATAGGATATATACAAGATTGTACTCGTTGCAATTATAAAGTATCTCTCTTAGCCGTGGGTTACTACAACTCAATAAAGCTAAATCGCAGGTGCATCTTAGAACTGTAGTAGGAGTACCTCAAGGAATTAATCAGCAAGTTCTGTAGTAGATCTTCAGTTTTCGCACTTGCTGGCTCATGCATGCTCACTGAGTATAAAATTGTAATAGCGAATTCTATATTCGTTGGAAATAGCTTAGTTAATAAATTATCAGTAAGCCTTCATATAGCTAATAAAATTGCAGTGTATCTAGATCTCATTTTAAGTTCTTAACATATTCTTAATGATAGGCATTTTCCATTCTTCATATAGATATTTTTACAGTCTGTTACTGCTATATGCAAATATAGCTATTAATAATTAGTTATTTATAGCACCTACAGTCTTTGCTATTTTTCATAATTATTTACTGTTACATAGTCTATTATGTTATATCTTGGATCAAATTCTACAATCCGGTTTTCTGCATACGTTCTATCTCAAACGCTATAAATACTTATGATTTCTGTTTCAGATTTGTTAGTACAACTATTCTTCAGTTCACTATATTATTATAATTAACAACAAAATATTATATGCACCAATAATTCGCCGTGTAGTAACGTTATGTAAATTTTGAAGCGTATAATTGTGCTATGGCTGTGTTGTAGGCACTAGTGTCTGACGAATAACACTGATACAATGTGGAATGTATCGGAATGGGAATACTAGAGAAACATACTATATATAAGACGTCGAGATTAGAAATAAAGAGCAAATTATACAAGTGCATTCAAATGAAGTCTAAACGTCTTGACAATTAGTTGTATTTACTATTATTAGTATCTGCGCTCGTTACTTCATAACAGCTTAATTATGCCGATCTAGTAGTAACTACCACACTGTACCTAATAATATCATTAATGGAGTATCTATTTTTGTCGTAAAACCTATCGTGTAAAGAATGGTGGAGTACAGTAATGTCAAGTGATATGTAATTAAAACGATTGAAATATTTTCTCTATACTGTACGTTTGTTTTGGAGGTTCTGTACGAATCAAGTCAGAAGTCATCGTTGAAGAGATTTTCAGGACTCTGCTTAACCGTAGGGCACGGCACAGCATATTCTATACCTGTGTCATCCTAGAAGAAAGTTATTATAGTCACCGTCTTAACATATTCTGCGATGCTGCGTTTACAGCGTTAAAATTCAACGTAGATATCATTTTATCACGAGTTATGTTATTATTAAGTAAAGTCTTAAAATAATAGCTATTGGTAATTGTCAATTTAAATGTCAAATCATGTAAAATATTCCTTCTAATGATGGATTATCAAGACGTTCTTGAGGGCAATATTCCCTAGAGTTCTATCTATGATTTTCTTATTCTTTTACTTATTCACATTACCGTAGTCAACGAAAAATATAACGGATAACCTTACTTTGGTACCCTTAGTCATGATATGCTTATTAAAAATTGAAAACTGACATTACGAATCTACTATCAGTCTTTTCCTCTCTAACGTCTACATACAGTCAAAAACTACTCGACTTATATTCAGTCATTGTAGTGTGACCTAGCTGGGACTACGGGGTAGTCGTGAGTGAATATTTTATTGCAAAATCATTCAATTTATAGCAAATCTAGATAAGTAATCATTATCAGTTTATTGATAATACTATGTATGCAAGTATGCATTTGTCTATTATAAAGATGTAAAACATCGTAGATAAATTAATATATAAGCATTCCTTGATAAGTTATCGTATAGACAACTATGCATAAGTTACTACTAACAATGCTATACAGTAAATAGTGTTAGAGAATAGGAAAAATATTTCCAGTTCTTTTGGCAACGACTATTGTGTAAGTATAGAGACCAGGATAAGAAATGGAATTTATTATTATAACAGCTATTGCTAAAATTTTCTCTACATAATAGTACTCGTATATAAGTACTTTTATCAGCGCTACTATGAGCAGGGTGTTCCGTAATTTTTACTGGTAATAATATATAATCATTAGACCCCCCCCCCCCCCCCATCCCTTATCGGTACTTTACGGTAAATAGTGTTAGCAGATTGAGCGAAAAGACCGATTTGATTTGATAGAGACATAAATCTAAGTAAATAGACCACGATAAGAAATGGAATTTATTATGACAACAGTCACTGCTAAAATTTACCCCATATTATGTATATTAGTACTTTTACGAGAGGGTAATAGGAGCAGGGCATTCTTCATTTCTAATAGTAACAATAATCATCAGACCCCTCCTCTCTTTGTTTGCATTACTGACTTTCTTGAATATTTATAAGTCTTATTAGCTATAAAAGAACAATTATTAATCATGTGACCCGACTGCCATAAATACAAAACTACATCCAAAATGGCGAAATCTTCCAAAGTGCTGCTATATGTAGCACTTTTATACATTTTATGCAATAAGGTGGTAGTTAATGGCGATCACATAAAGCAACTATCATACGTAGACTGTCTCAATGGCTGTTCCTGTAATCATACAGATGCTGTATGCTCTAATTTCGAAGAGGCTTTAGCTTCTGTAGCACTCCAAAAACGAACAGTGTAAGTCCTTTAACTAGTCTTAAAATGGTGTGAATTTACAGTTTAAAAATAGCATCCGACGTTCAAGTTATTTATTACTTTATTCTTGTACGAGTACAAGCAGCAGATGATTTAAAAGTACAGAAGTCAATCTTCAACAAGCAAATATCATTTTTTCAACTCTATTGCACTTACAGCCGTATACTTTACTGAATTATTACGAATAATATCGTTACAAATCGAAATTTGCAACAAGGAAAAACTTATAACTGTTATAGAAAATAGCACCACGATCCTACTATCAGGTTTAACCTTCCTGATATTTTCCTTACTACACGAAGATCTGCTATCTCCAGGAGGAACAGTAGTTATCGCCAGTTTCGAAGCTGAATCGAAACTTTATTAAAAAGCTAGTCAATTTAAAGTAAATCCCCATAAATATTAGTTGTCAGTACTTAGATAATATTATGAAACTATGCAGTTATCTACTTAAAGTATGTATACTGTCATGGATAATGGTATGCTATCTAACGTAAATAAAATAGGCATTTTGTTGGAAAGTTCACTTCGTGACAAGCAATGATAACAAGTAAAAGGGGATTTTTGTAATTTAATTTAATCGGTAGTTAGCAGCCTTTTAATTTAGAGTAGAGGATTGATTATTATAATCAGCAAAATAGAGAGCAGTATACTGCAGAGTTTTTCTAACAAGTATAATTCAAAAGCTTTAGATCATGCAGCTGATGAATACATCAACATTAAACTATTTTTATATTGAGTTCCTATAGGAGCGATGTCTACTTTAACGAATGAATTTATATATGTGCTAGCCCTCATCATTATTTTGTTGATAGGTATAATGTTTAATTGTACAGTAGATAAGCTAGAAAGAGGCTGCACTTGTTAATGTGCTATTCAGCGTGTAAATGAAAGCGTAACATGAGTATTGGGCTAATGACAGTAATCACATAAAATTGTCTTGAAACTGAAAGACAGAATTTAAAGTTTTTATGTACCTAATTTTGATAAATTCTTTCTCATATATAGCACTTTATTACAAAAATTGCCTTGTCGAGATCGTAGCTTAAGAGAACTCATCCAGCTCTCAAACAAGAGAGATGTTACGGTAGTTTTTAGATGCTACGGATCGAAAGAGTACATGAATCCAAAACGTAAGAATGGAATGGAACTGAAATCTAATATTGAAACAGCAAGAAGAGGTAAGATCCACTAGCGGAACGGCACTTAAATATCTCTTATACTACTGGCTAACAGAATCATAATAAGATCAAATTTAATTCAATTTCAATATATTAAGACTTGCTAAAAATGTGCAAATTTGTTTTCTTTAAATTTTTATTTAAACTTTGCGTAACTGTAGCAGAGATGAGACTTTTTACTATCTTGTTTTGCATTAATTTTAAACTTTTCATACTATTTGGAAGTTATGAGAGTAGAAAGAAATTCCAGATCACAAAATAGCAATTATACAATTAGCTTGATAAATGGACAAAATTCTAGTGAAGGTACTGTTATCATTGAAAATCGAATAAATGGCCAGCGTGGAGCAGTTTGTGGCACTGCATGGCATGCCAGTGATGCCTCAGTCGTCTGTCGACAACTTGGTTTCCTTAGTTATAGGTCCAAAGCAAGTATGATATAGCTAATAGTACGACATCCTTCTTTGATCGTAGGTAGTTACCTAGATATTTCCAGCTTAATTAAATCTGTTTTACTAATTGGATTGAATTTGGCATTTATTCCAGCTGTAGCTAAACCAGGAAATTTAAGTATTATTGCAAGAGCATTGTTATGCTTGGGAAAAGAGCAAGTTATAGATAGCTGTAAAATAGTATCTTGGAATGAACCATTTAGTTCTAATAATCTTTGTAATCAAGCAAGGACTGTAGCAACAGTGAACTGCGTATCGGAAGATAATAACCCAAATCGTAAGATTATGGAATCGGGTTTATTCCTACTGATATTTAAAACTATTTCTGTTACAAGTTTTCCCTAAATTTTCAACTATTTTTTTTGTTTTATCACTAGTTCCAGGTAATTCCCCAGAAAGTTGCACCTTCAAATATGGATTCTGCAATTGGCAACGGAGTGGAAATTATCTAATGCAATGGAATAATTATAATGGTTAATTGCTCTAGTCTATGTAACAGAAAGTATAATATTTTCATAAAGATATTATTTATCAGAATTTAATTAATACTGCGCCTTATTCGTAGAGTTCAATCAATCTGCTCGGATTAATCTGCAATTATTTATTACATTCTCAAATCATCAACAATTCTAATATTATTTTTCTAATTTTATTTCTTCAAGGGGATTCGTATGCTTTTATATCTGTTCGTAGATTTGAAATACCCGCAACTGCTATATTAACCAGTCCGTTTTTGCGCTTGAAATCCTCAGACAAATCTGCTTTTGTATGCATTGACATTTATAGATGTTTATAGCAATTCATTAAAAAATTTATCATAACTTTGGATATAACCTAGGATACACTTGTGATGAATAATGTTCTTATGATCATATATTGATTTCAATTACAATATTTCGATTCAGATTAAATTTAAAATAAAGCTAGGTAGACTAGGGTATTTCGACGATACTTCATTCTTTCGATACAAATATCGTGACTCTTCTTCTACGATTAAAATCGGCTTGCCAACGATCCCTTATACAGAATCTTGGGATGTATATACCTCAGAAGATTTCAAACCTCGAGATCCATTTCAAGTAAGTTTCACCTTGTTAAATACCGTATGTTAAGATACCGTGGAAATACATTTTACAGTTTTAATTAAACAGATGCCATAAGGCTAACAAAAGCCTATGAAGGAATTGTAAATCAGAATTAAATGTTTATGCCTTTCAAAGTGTAATATTCTCCCCACAACATCAATACAAATCTTGTCACGAATTCTTCCTCAATTAATTTCAAGTAATTTCAAATCTCACCGGAAAATTTTTGTACAATTTACAATTTTAATCTACATTCGTGGTCAAGCATTAAAAATAGTTAAAGTTACCAAAATGTGATGTAAAGCTAGAAAAATTGTGTTACTTTGCATCAAGATAGATATTAGTTACAATGTACATCATGACTAGAAAAATGACTGTAGTAAGCTAATCATAAAATTTCCTTCTAATAATTACGTTGACATCACAAGTTTATTTGAGAACTCATTACAGGCCTGGTTGAACCTCAAAATTCTTAGTAATATAAGAAATATCTTAAAGTGTTTGGAAAGTATTATAATAAGCTGCTAATAGTTAAAGTTAGTGAGATGTATTATGTAAAGAGAGAAAAATGGAATACATAAATGTTGTATAAAAGTCGTAGTTAGTCTTCGTAGCTGGTACAGGATGAGGGAGAAAGAAATTAATGCCTACGGAATTTTAAAGGCTCGTATGTTCATATAGATCAAGACTAAGCTCCTTTTCCATGTTGCGTTTATTGCAAATTGTAGCGAATCGCGAAATTTTAATATATTTACGCCAATGCAATTGAAATCCCTATATTTATTAGATAGTATAAATTAATTTCACTTTACAATAGCTGCTGCTATAAATATAAGTGATTGTTTGCTATCACATGGTACTTCAATTTATATGCATTATTATAACGTAGATTCCTTATTTATCTAGGTTGTGTTCATAGCCACGGCAAGCAATCGTAGGCAAATTGATATTAGTTTGAGCTTGGATCAAGTTTTTATTAATAATGCAGAACCGAATATAGGTTAGCCATGACTTAAAATTATAGTAATAGCAATGTATATGTTATACAAAAAATTATCATAAAATCAAATCTATTTAAATTCGGATGTTCAGATACATTATGGGTGCGAGTTACAATACCTAATATTTATTAAAGTCCTATTACATAGCAGTTCTAACAGATATTCGACTATAACATGATTGTCTCATTCTCTGAGTAAATCCGTCTTATCTATTAACTCCAGGGCTCACTCAAGCGTCTCAATTAGCAGTGATCCTTTCTGTTACCATAATTGCCAGTCTCAGCCTTATATTTGGTATAGCTTATTATTGCCATTATCACAATAGGGAGGGTTGTAAAACATGTTGCGAAATTTGGTTAAACTCAGGCACCAATCCAGCAGTAACTGGGACATCAACAACTAGTAAACTGAGTTTGGGCTCTGGAACATCTGCCGATGTACTTCGAAGGGCAATACGTGACCACCCTTACATACTTAATGAAATTAATACTCATTATCCAGGCAATTCAAGGGCACTTGAAACGGGATGTGACGAAGGCTGTTAGGAGAAAGATTATTCTCGTGATGAGGTATAAAATATAACTTCAATGTAATATCTTACCATGATAATCATGAAACTTAAAATTCAGGCTTTAATCTGAAATTGTATCGATTTAAAAAAACATCTATTTTACGTATATTTAAACTAATTTCTAAAGTACGATAACGCTAGAGAATCAATTTTAAACATTTTACTGCTTAAAATGAAGTATCAGTAAAATTATTTTCTTAGAATACTTTTAAAGCAAGTTAAAATTTAAAATTAATCTGATTTTTTAATCTGATTTATTGGTTTTCAGAAATCTCAAATACCTAACATACAAAATTCAAAAAGCTACGTTTACTGGAATGAATTTACGGCCATGCAATCTTTTTAAAAATAATCTATTACTCATTATAAAATCATAATAATTTAATAAAGTGTGACAGTGTTATATACTACATTAGAGTAGAAATATCTATGTTAGGATAATTCTGTTAGCCTATCCTTATTTAGTTAACTTCTAATTTGGATATACTGTGTTTTAATATAGCACTGACTTTTTATGACAATGAAACATATACACATACTGAAATTAATAGTTATAATAGGGAATACAAATCATCTACTTACAGTTCGAATCATTGTGATTATAACTTAATACTAGATTGTAAATTATCGAGGAAATATTCCGTGATAGAACATATCGTAATCTGATTATTCTGTATTAGCCATCAGATGTCTATGTTCGTAAATACTGTTGTCTGCATTAAGGAACCAGTAGCTAAAATTAATATCTAATTCAGTAAATGATTCCAAAGTTAATCGTACTAACTATGATTCATGACCTATTGAGGAAGAGTACATAAATGCAGCATAATATGTAATAAAGTGAATTCTTAAACTTAGTGTTTAACGTAAAATACGAGCCGTCTAAGTCTTTGTGTAGTCTGCTAGTAGAGCAAAAGTGTTTGTGATAGTGCAGATATCGTTCCTTGATACGTGGTTCAAGGAATTGACTTATTGATCGTACCTTACGTTATCTTGTTGCAAAGCTGTTTTGTGACATAAAGTAACATCCATATTTCAAGACCAAAATATAAGAATCCATAGCATCGAGCCTTATTAACTCTTAGAGATGTTTAGTTATTGCATTAGCATGACATAAACTAAGGTGATTTGACATATTCTCTAAAAGTAGCAACTACTAAGGCTGTTGAAAGAATAACGATTAGGTTAATTAATTAATTAATCTACAAGATTCCAACTCAATAAAGTAAAAACTACAGATCGGTATAATAAAAATTATTGAAAAAATATTGAAATAATGTGCGTCAAGATAATATTTAAAGTCAACTCTAATAAAGGATTTAGTAAAATAT